GTCTAGATACACACATAGAGACTCCCCTAATGTCTAGATACACACATAGAGACTCCCCTAATGTCTAGATACACATAGAGACTCCCCTAAAGTCTAGATACACACATAGAGACTCTCCTTTATCATGCTAGATATAATTTTAATCAAAATTATAAAAGCATTGCTACTTAGTGGTTGAAATCCAAGAAAAATACCTAAAAAATGTAAAAATAATAATATGAAAATAAAAATAAAACATAAAAAAACATTAATAGAAAACAATTGAGCCAAAACACACCTTGAGAATTACTATTCAAAACTGGGTCTGTGTTTTGGGGTTAGAGCTTTAAATGATAATGATCACAGATTAATATCTATTGTTTATACATGTACAGCCTTTCTGAATAAATACACTCATCAAATGATTTAATTCACCAGCATGAGCTCTTTGCAAATAAATGCTTAAAATATACAAAATGTGTACATCTCATGATTAAACCTTATTTTTAGCATTGTAGTTTACCAGTATCACACCAGAGCACGTATCAGAATGGTATAAACCTTATACAGGTCCAGGATTAGTAATGTCCTCGTATTAGAATGGTATTAGGACTATACAGGATTAGTGATGTGTTCAGAGACAAAAGATCGGTGACCGGATCAGTACTACTGTATACAGGATCAGTACTACTGTATACAGGATCAGTACTACTGTATACAGGATCAGTACTACTGTATACAGGATCAGTACTACTGTATACACGATCAGTACTACTGTATACATGATCAGTACTACTGTATACGGGATCAGTACTACTGTATACAGGATCAGTACTACTGTATACAGGAGCAGTACTACTGTATACTGGATCAGTACTACTGTTAACACAATCAGTACTACTGTATACACAATCAGTACTACTGTATACACGATCAGTACTTCTGTATACAGGATCAGTACTACTGTATACACAATCAGTACTACTGTATACTGGATCAGTACTGCTGTAAACACGATCAGTACTACTGTATACAGGATCAGTGCTACTGTATACAGGATCAGTACTACTGTACACTGGATCAGTACTACTGTATACACGATCAGTATTACTGTATACACGATCAGTACTACTGTATACACGATCAGTACTACTGTATACGGGGTCAGTACTACTGTATACATGATTAGTACTACTGAATACAGGATCAGTACTACTGTATACACAATCAGTACTACTGTATACACGATCAGTACTACTGTATACGGGATCAGAACTACTGTATACGGGATAAGTACTACTGTATACACGATCAGTACTACTGTATACACGATCAGTACTACTGTATACAGGATCAGTACTACTGTATACACAATCAGTACTACTGTATACACGATCAGGACTACTGTATACGGGATCAGAACTACTGTATACGGGATAAGTACTACTGTATACACGATCAGTACTACTGTATACGGGATCAGTACTACTGTACACTGGATCAGTACTACTGTATACACAATCAGTACTACTGTACACTGGATCAGTACTACTGGATACATGATCAGTACTACTGTATACAGGATCAGTACTACTGTATACACAATCAGTACTACTGTATACGGGATCAGTACTACTGTATACACAATCAGTACTACTGTATACTGGATCAGTACTACTGTATACACGATCAGTACTACTGTATACAGGATCAGTACTATTGAATACAGGATCAGTACTACTGTACACTGGATCAGTACTACTGTATACACGATCAGTACTACTGTATACACGATCAGTACTACTGTATACGGGGTCAGTACTACTGTATACACGATTAGTACTACTGTATACAGGATCAGTACTACTGTATACACGATCAGTACTACTGTATACTGGATCAGTACGACTGTATACACAATCAGTACTATTGTATACACGATCAGTACTAGTTTATACACGATCAGTACTACTGTATACACGATCAGTACTACTGTATATGGGGTCAGTACTACTGTATACACGATTAGTACTACTGTATACGGGATCAGTACTACTGTATACGGGATCAGTACTACTGTATACTGGATCAGTACTACTGTATACGGGATCAGTACTGCTGTATACGGGATCAGTCCTACTGTACGCAGGATCAGTACTACTGTTTACTGTATCAGTACTACTGTACACTTGATCAGTACTACTGTATACGGGATCAGTACTACTGTATATGGGATCAGTACTACTGTATACAGGATCAGTACTACTGTATACCAGGGAAATGTCCTTTACACCTTTGTTATGATGACAGTAAATATTTGTTCACAGCATACCATATACATGTATAGTCATTACATGTGAAAGCTGTAATTCACACAGAGTAAATACCAGGTATGGATATTTATGTGAAGCGTACAGGTTTTATTTGGTGAAAATTTCCTAGTATATAATGATTTTAATCCCTTTATTGCTACTAAATACAGACTGTTTGTGTGGTACAGACTGAGTCAGTAGATGTAGACCTGTTATACAGTAAAACCTACTGCCGCAATGATATAATCTTCTGGCTGTAGTTACGGCTGTGTGTCAGGGGTAGAGCTGTTATACAGTAAAACCTACTGCAGCAATTTTATAATCTTCTGGCTGTAGTTACGGCTGTGTGTCAGGGGTAGAGCTTTTATACAGTAAAACCTACTGCAGCAATTTTATAATCTTCTGGCTGTAGTTACGGCTGTGTGTCAGGGGGAGAGCTGTTATACAGTAAAACCTACTGCCGCAATGTTATAATCCTCTGGCTGTAGTTACGGCTGTGTGTCAGGGGTAGCCCTGTTATACAGTAAAACCTACTGCCGCAATGTTATAATCCTCTGGCTGTAGTTAGGGCTGTGTGTCAGGGGTAGACCTGTTATACAGTAAAACCTACTGCCGCAATGATATAATCTTCTGGCTGTAGTTACGGCTGTGTGTCAGGGGGAGAGCTGTTATACAGTAAAACCTACTGTAGCAATGTTATAATCCTCTGGCTGTAGTTACGGCTGTGTGTCAGGGGTAGACCTGTTATACAGTAAAACCTACTGCCGCAATGATATAATCTTCTGGCTGTAGTTACGGCTGTGTGTCAGGGGTAGCCCTGTTATACAGTAAAACCTACTGCCGCAATGTTATAATCCTCTGGCTGTAGTTACGGCTGTGTGTCAGGGGTAGACCTGTTATACAGTAAAACCTACTGCCGCAATGATATAATTTTCTGGCTGTAGTTACGGCTGTGTGTCAGGGGTAGACCTGTTATACAGTAAAACCTACTGCCGCAATGATATAATTTTCTGGCTGTAGTTACGGCTGTGTGTCAGGGGTAGACCTGTTATACAGTAAAACCTACTGCCGCAATGATATAATTTTCTGGCTGTAGTTACGGCTGTGTGTCAGGGGTAGCCCTGTTATACAGTAAAACCTACTGCCGCAATGTTATAATCCTCTGGCTGTAGTTAGGGCTGTGTGTCAGGGGTAAACCTGTTATACAGTAAAACCTACTGTAGCAATGTTATAATCCTCTGGCTGTAGTTACGGCTGTGTGTCAGGGGGAGACCTGTTATACAGAAAAACCTACTGTAGCAATGTTATAATCTTCTGGCTGTAGTTATGGCTGTGTGTCAGGGGTAGAGCTGTTATACAGTGAAACCTACTGTAGCAATGTTATAATCTTCTGGCTGTAGTTAGGGCTGTGTGTCAGGGGTAGACCTGTTATACAGTAAAACCTACTGCCGCAATGTTATAATCTTCTGGCTGTAGTTACGGCTGTGTGTCAGGGGTAAAGCTGGCGGCTCTATAAATGTCCACTTCTTTCTTGCTGGATCTTCCTCGATGGCACAAAGACAGCAGTATGGCACTTTAGGCAGGATCTGTTTATAGTCATTTAGGTTTCGAGCTCCTCTTCCCACTAACAGTCTTGTACTCAGTTCCAGCGTTCCCGCATGTCCAACAAATAACAGATTCCCACCTAGAACACATCAAACACAGCCAATCAGGGACACTCAAACCAACGTCCATCTTATACAGTTTTTATGAAACAAGCTTCAACAGATACCCTAAAAGATGCATGGAATAAAAACATCTGGATCTTCTCACCATTGTGTGATAAATACCTGCTGTAGATTATTGTTAGGTATTATAGCTGCAGTTACTTCCCTTTAACAGAATCAGTAGAATGGTAGTCTCCTGTTTGTGTTGACACTGATCAATAACAATCACTAAAATGCTTTACTTTTCAAAACTCCCATCATGATCAAATATATAAAATAAAAAAGAAATTAAACAAGAGGCACAAAGGGCTTGTATCGCTCACCTGGATATCTAAGCAATCATGGTAAAATATTCTCCAAATGAGTTATAAGGGAATATGCCAGACCCCAAGGCCAATCCTTGTAGCATATCTGTATTAGATTTTTCATGCCCAGCAATTTTATGTATGGTTATGGGGTGGGGATCTCAACTGTTTCCAAGCTGTGATTCAGAAATTAGGTCCCTAGGGTTGTTGCCAGACCCCAGGATCAATTCTAATAACATGACTGCATTTGTCTCTTTTTGCCCAGCATTTGTATATATAGTTTTGGGGATGGGATCTCAACCGTTTCCAAGTTATGACCAAGGGATTAAGTCTGCAAGGGTGGGACAGACCCTGGAGTCAATTCTAATATCATGATTGAATTCGTCTCTTAATGCCCAACAATTGTATATATATAGTTTTAGGGTGGGGATCTTAACGATTTCAAAGTTATGACCCAGGGGTAAAGTCTCCAAGGGTGGGGTAGTCCCCAAGGCCATCCTGGAAGCATATGTGCATTCATCTCTTTATACTCAGCAATTGTATATATGGTTATAGGGTGGGGATCTCAACTGTTTCTAAGCTGTGACTAAGAAACTAGGTCCCAAGGGGTTTGGTCAGACCCCAGGGTCTATTCTAATATCATGACTGCATTCGTCTCTTTATGCCAAACATTTGTATATATAGTTTTGGGGTGTGGATCTCAACCATTTCAAAGTTATGACCCAGGGACTATGTCTTCAAGGGTGGGGCCAGACCCTAGGGCCATCCTGGAAGCAAATGTCCATTCTTCTCTTTATACTCAGCAATTGTATATATGGTTATATGGTGGGGATCTCAACCATTTCCAAGTAATAAACTTTTTTTGGCCCCACCCCTTAGCCCGGGGGGTTAGCCCCACCATTTATACAATTTTGAATCCCTGCCTACAATGAAAGCTTCCAACTAAATAGGATCGATATCCATGGCATAGTTCTACAAAAGAAGTCGTTTATAGCAATATAGCCAAATTGCCCCCTTTTGACCCTGCCCCTCAGCCCCCTGGGAGGTCAACCACACCATTTGTACAATTTTGAATCCCTACCTCCCATGAATGCTTTTGATCAAATATGATTGATATCCAGTGCATAGTTCTACAGAAGAAGTTGCTTGTAGCAATAAAGCCGAATTGCCCCCTTTTGGCCCCGACTCTAAGCTCCCTGGAGGGTCAGCCCCACCATTTGTACATTTTGAATCATCACTAACTAGGGATGCTTCCAGTCAAGTATGGTTGACACCCATCACTTAGTTCCAGAGAAGAAGTCGCTTAAAGCAGTATAGCTAAATAACCTTTTTTGGCCCTGCCCCTCAGCCCCCTGGGAGGTAAGCCACACCATTTGTACAATTTTGAATCCCCACCATCTAGGGATGCTTCCAGTCAAATTTTGTTGAAATCCAATAAGTGGTTAAGAAGAAGAAGTCGTTTAAAGAAATTGTTGACGTACGGACAGACGACGGACGACGGATGGACGCCACGGCATGGCATAAGCTCACCTTGGTCCTTCAGACCAGGTGAGCTAATAAAAATCAATTGTGTCTTTTTTTCAATTTCTCACTCTTTTTTATTGAAACTTGAAACAATGTGTCCTGTTTGTTGTTTTCCATTGATCTACTTTTACTACAGTATTACATACCAGTTATGATTGAATGAGGGATTATATTTGACTCAGAAGGATTTTACTGAGGGAGTCGTGAGAGGCCAGACATTATGTAATCTAAAGTATTCAGGTATCAGAGTACAGTAGAAATGACTTGACCCTAAAAATAAAGGGCATGTCTCGGATAAACATGGATAGCGGATTCATCCTGCACAACACACCTACATATATATATATATTTATAAACTACATTTTGAATACATCTATTTTTGAAAGAATGATTTTTTTTTTCAAAAAGTGATTTCCCCAGATTTGGGACTTGTGAAAACCATGGTTACCACATCAAAAAACGCCAAAAAATGCAAAAAAATATGATTTTTACCCCAAAATTTGACCCACGCAAGTAGTATTTTTTTTCTTAAAACCTGTCTTAAATTAAATATCACCTTCTCAGAAACAGAAATACTCATGTTTTAGCATTAGGTCGTTCAACTGGATTTTTCACGATATTTACACATGACAAAAATAGACTACATGAAAAGCTAACTTTTGTTGTGTAGACACAGATTTGTAAATGGCCAAAAATGTAGTCTCAAGCCAAATTCAATTTTTTTTTTTTTAAATGTGAAGCCCACATAGTCCAATTCATCATGTATATGCTAATTTTAGAGCTGATTTTTTAAAAAAGTTTTAATACATGTAATACTACAAAAATATCCCCATGGCCACCGTACCTGCTACCTCAGGGACTTAAGGCAACTGTTACCTGTAACATTGATAACGACAGGTACCAATGTAGTCAGTGTTACAAACAAGCTTTTCAGGCTGGCTCTTACTCCCTTGTTTACAAGCTGCCTGATCATCTGATCAAATCCTTGCTTTTCCAAATGGCTGTCTTGTACACTGCCCTCAGGCAGCCCCCTTCCCTTATACATTACTCGACTTCTGATCAGAATAGTCAAATACAGGTATGAACTACTTTTAGTACTTGAGCTCCAATTTTGCTGTAAATAACTTACCTTCTAGTTCGTGGTTTTTGAGGATCTGTTTGGAAGTCTCGGTCGACCGGGCATATAACACCTCCACTGGTTCATCTTCCTGGAGTTTCTCTCTGGGGTATTGTGGCACATAGGTTGTATCCACAGGGTAGCCATGCTGCAAGAGTTCGGAGGGTGACATCCACCGCGGGACACCTGCCTGGTACCCTGTCCACTCGTACAGGCCCGGCTCGATTCTCAACTTCCATGGTAAATTAAACACTAAAAGCACAGGTAAGTGGACATTTTTACAAAATTTGATAGAGGACATTTTATTGTCAAAGGAGTATCATTTTTAATTCTTATCATATTTTTCATGATATGATAATTTCTCATGAATTTATTTTTTACATCTGGTTTGTGAAATTTGTAGTTGCCATATACATCACTCACATAAATACGATATCATACCTTCACATACCAGATAAATACGATATCATACCTTCACATACCAGATAAATACGATATCATACCTCAACAAATTAGATAAATACGATATCATACCTCCACAAATTAGATAAATACGATATCATACCTTCACATACCAGACAAGAGGCCCAATGGGCCTGAATCGCTCACCTGGTATTAATCTCACACTTGTAATCTTAAAAGTGGACTAAAATGTAGCTACAGGAAGAATATCAGTGTTTGATTCATAAGAGCCTATTAAAAGATTTAAACATGACGCCTGTGACCTTGAATGTCGAACAAGGACATTAGGTTGAACAGAGTTTAAAGTCTTCCAACCCAGCATGCTTTTGGCAAAATATCATAACCCTGGACCTATTGGTTATACAGAACAAGTCATTTAAAGATTTAAACATATATTGACCACTGTGACCTTGAATATGGGCGAAGGTCATTCATTTTGACAAAATTGGTAGCCCTTCATCCCAGCCTGTTAATGACCAAATATCATCGGCCCCTGTGACCTTGAATATATGTAAAGGTCATTCATTTGAATAAAACTTGGTAGCCCTTCATCCTGGCATGTTACTGGCCAAATATCATTATCCTAGGCTCCTTAGTTATTCAGAAGAAGTTGTTTAAAGATTTGTTAAGACAATTGACCCCTGTGACCTTGAAAATGAACGAAGGTCATTCATTTGAACAAACTTGGTAGCCCTTAATCACAGCATGCTACCGGCCAAATATCGTAACCCTATGCCTCTTAGTTATTCAAAAGAAGTTGTTTAAAGGTTTTTAACATTTTTGACCCCTATGACCTTGAATATAAGTCAAGGTCATTCTTTTGAACAAAAAAAAGGCAGCCCTTTATCACAGCATGCTAATGGCAAAATACCTTAACCCTAGGCCTCTTAGTTATTCAGAAGAAGTTGTTTAAAGGTTTTTAACATATTTGACCCATGTGACCTTGAATATAAGTCAAGGTCATTCATTTGAACAAACTTGGTAGCCTTTAATCACAGCATGCTACTGGCCAAATAGCATCATCCTAGGCCTTTTGGTTATTGAGAAGAAGTTGTTTAAAGGTTTTTAACATATTTGACCCCTGTGACCTTGAATATAAGTAAATGTCATTCATTTGAACAAACTTGGTAGCCCTTCATTCTAGCATGTTCGGGCCAGGTGAGCTAATAAATACAATATCATACCTTCACATACCAGATAAATACGATATCATACCTCAACAAATTACATAAATACGATATCATACCTTCACATACCAGATAAATACGATATCATACCCCAACAAATTAGATAAATACGATATCACACCTTCACATACCAGATAAATACGATATCATACCTCAACAAATCAGATAAATACGATATCATACCTCCACAAATTAGATAAATATGATATCATACCTTCACATACCAGATAAATATGATATCATACCTTCACATACCAGGTAAATATGATATCATACCTCCACAAATTAGATAAATATGATATCATACCTCCACAAATTGGATAAATCAATATCATACCTCCACAAATTAGATAAATATGATATCATACTACCACAAACTAGATGAATAAAACATGACTTAGTTCATTGTAAAAGTTCTATGTTTAGGTTAGGTGAGTTAAGTCACATTTTACTTGTTACAGGATATCAGTCCAACCCAGGATTCCTGTATTGTTACAGGATATCAGTCAAACCCAGGATTCCTGTATTGTTACAGGATATTAGTCAAACCCAGGATTCCTGTATTGCCAGATGTCAGAAAAGTCAGGTTTTGCTGTAATACAGGATGGAAGTGAAGTCATGTGTCATCTATTGGAAAGTAAGGTGGCTGGATCATCTACTGGGAAGTAAGGTGGCTGGATTTTCTACTGGAAACGAATGTGGCTGGATTATCTACTGGGAATTAGGGTGGCTAAATTATCTACTGGGAATAAAGGTTGCTGGATTATCTACTGGGAATTAAGGTTGCTGGATTATCTACTGGGAATTAAGGTGGCTGTTCCAAAATACAGTTTAAAGTGTAGACTGTGCCAATATAGATTTTTCATGAGAAGGGTAATATTTCACTCGGGGGAAATTCCAAGAATATAGTATGATACACATGAAAAGCTGACCTTTGAAGATCTCTGTGGCAGTTTGTACACATCGCAGGGAGGGGGAACAATATATACAGAACACTGTCACTCCGCTCTCCAGCAGGTTCTCCGCTGAAACATAAATTACACTTTATTACCAGAACTTTCATCAGAAACACAAATTTGGCCATTACTTATACTTATGGTGTACTTATATATTCACCTCTGTGATGCGCCAGATCCCACTAAACTTAAACTATGTCTGTTAGGTCTTACACACTAACAAGTCAAATGTAAAGTCCCTCACCGCTTACACCAAACACACTGAATTTATACTTTAGATGTAAGGTCTCTATCTCCTTACACCAAACACACTGAACTTATACTTCAGATGTAAGGTCTCTATCTCCTTACACCAAACACACTGAATTTATACTTTAGATGTAAGGTCTCTATCTCCTTACACCAAACACACTGAACTTATACTTTAGATGTAAGGTCTCTATCTCCTTACACCAAACACACTGAACTTATACTTTAGATGTAAGGTCTCTATCTCCTTACACCAAACACACTGAACTTATACTTTAGATGTAAGGTCTCTATCTCCTTACACCAAACACACTGAACTTATACTTTAGATGTAAGGTCTCTATCTCCTTACACCAAACACACTGAACTTATACTTTAGATGTAAGGTCTCTATCTCCTTACACCAAACACACTGAACTTATACTTTAGATGTAAGGTCTCTATCTCCTTACACCAAACACACTGAACTTATACTTTAGATGTAAGGTCTCTATCTCCTTACACCAAACACACTGAACTTATACTTTAGATGTAAGGTCTCTATCTCCTTACACCAAACACACTGAACTTATACTTTAGATGTAAGGTCTCTATCTCCTTACACCAAACACACTGAACTTATACTTTAGATGTAAGGTCTCTATCTCCTTACACCAAACACACTGAACTTATACTTTAGATGTAAGGTCTCTATCTCCTTACACCAAACACACTGAACTTATACTTTAGATGTAAGGTCTCTATCTCCTTACACCAAACACACTGAACTTATACTTTAGATGTAAGGTCTCTATCTCCTTACACCAAACACACTGAACTTATACTTTAGATGTAAGGTCTCTATCTCCTTACACCAAACACACTGAACTTATACTTTAGATGTAAGGTCTCTATCTCCTTACACCAAACACACTGAACTTATACTTTAGATGTAAGGTCTCTATCTCCTTACACCAAACACACTGAACTTATACTTTAGATGTAAGGTCTCTATCTCCTTACACCAAACACACTGAACTTATACTTTAGATGTAAGGTCTCTATCTCCTTACACCAAACACACTGAACTTATACTTTAGATGTAAGGTCTCTATCTCCTTACACCAAACACACTGAACTTATACTTTAGATGTAAGGTCTCTATCTCCTTACACCAAACACACTGAACTTATACTTTAGATGTAAGGTCTCTATCTCCTTACACCAAACACACTGAACTTATACTTTAGATGTAAGGTCTCTATCTCCTTACACCAAACACACTGAACTTATACTTTAGATGTAAGGTCTCTATCTCCTTACACCAAACACACTGAACTTATACTTTAGATGTAAGGTCTCTATCTCCTTACACCAAACACACTGAACTTATACTTTAGATGTAAGGTCTCTATCTCCTTACACCAAACACACTGAACTTATACTTTAGATGTAAGGTCTCTATCTCCTTACACCAAACACACTGAACTTATACTTTAGATGTAAGGTCTCTATCTCCTTACACCAAACACACTGAACTTATACTTTAGATGTAAGGTCTCTATCTCCTTACACCAAACACACTGAACTTATACTTTAGATGTAAGGTCTCTATCTCCTTACACCAAACACACTGAACTTATACTTTAGATGTAAGGTCTCTATCTCCTTACACCAAACACACTGAACTTATACTTTAGATGTAAGGTCTCTATCTCCTTACACCAAACACACTGAACTTATACTTTAGATGTAAGGTCTCTATCTCCTTACACCAAACACACTGAACTTATACTTTAGATGTAAGGTCTCTATCTCCTTACACCAAACACACTGAACTTATACTTTAGATGTTAGGTCTGCTGTTCCTGTCACCATGCAAACACACTGAACTTATACTTTAGATGTTAGGTCTGCTGTTCCTGTCACCAAACCAACATAACCACTACTTCGGACTCCTCCATGTATATTTACCTGTAAGTTTAGCTTGATAGTGACCTATGACAGTGAGGGGTGGGTCTTTGATATATTCCAGGTGTGTTTTCCTTTTTGGCAGTTCCCTGAGTAAATTCAAATTGTTCCTTTTGTAGTTACCTGAAAGCAAGTCATCTAAGGTAAACATTGGTCTTTGAATCAAATGATAACTATAATTTTTTCAATAAATAATAGCGTAACAGCATATAGTATATATTGCATATAAGAGCACAGAAACAGGGGTACAGTCCTGTAGGTTAGCCAGATAACATTGAAGGGGTGATCACGACTGGGCGTCAGAAATGAAATCATTTGTTCTCTTTGTGGTAGCCCACCCCCCCTCCCCTCATCACTAATCAGAAATTTTCATTGTAAACTTATATCATTTTAACAGCCTAGTACTTTAAAAGCTATTTTGGCATGTAAAAAAATATGTTTAGATGGCAGGGCGGTTTAAAATGATGAAAGTAAAAAATATTTAGAAACTTTCTTTAAACTTAGGTAATATGTATTTTAGTATAACAATGTTGGTATTTTAGTTTAACAATGTTGGTATTTAACAATGTTGCTATTTTAGTATATCAATGTTGGTATTTTAGTATAACAATGTTGGTATTTTAGTATAACACTGTTGGTATTTAAGTATAACAATGTTGGTATTTTAGTTTAACAATGTTGCTATTTTAGTATATCAATGTTGGTATTTTAGTATAACAATGTTGGTATTTTAGTATAACACTGTTGGTATTTAAGTATAACAATGATGGAATTTTAGTTTAACAATGTTGCTATTTTAGTATAACAATGTTGGTATTTTAGTATAACAATGTTTGTATTTTAGTATAACACTGTTGGTATTTTAGTATAACAATGTTGGTATTTTAGTATAACAATGCTGGTATTTTAGTTTAACAATGTTAGTATTTTAGTTTAACAATGTTGGTATTTTAGTATAACAATGTTGGTATTTTAGTATAACAATGTTGGTATTTTAGTATAACAATGTTGGTATTTTAGTATAACAATGTTGGTATTTTAGTATAACAATGTTGGTATTTTAGTATAACAATGTTGGTATTTTAGTATAACAATGTTGGTATTTTAGTATAACAATGTTGGTATTTTAGTATAACAATGTTGGTATTTTAGTATAACAATGTTGGTATTTTAGTATAACAATGTTGGTATTTTAGTATAACAATGTTGGTATTTTAGTATAACAATGTTGGTATTTTAGTATAACAATGTTGGTATTTTAGTATAACAATGTTGGTATTTTAGTATAACAATGTTGGTATTTTAGTATAACAATGTTGGTATTTTAGTATAACAATGTTGGTATTTTAGTATAACAATGTTGGTATTTTAGTATAACAATGTTGGTATTTTAGTATAACAATGTTGGTATTTTAGTATAACAATGTTGGTATTTTAGTATAACAATGTTGGTATTTTAGTATAACAATGTTGGTATTTTAGTATAACAATGTTGGTATTTTAGTATAACAATGTTGGTATTTTAGTATAACAATGTTGGTATTTTAGTATAACAATGTTGGTATTTTAGTATAACAATGTTGGTATTTTAGTATAACAATGTTGGTATTTTAGTATAACAATGTTGGTATTTTAGTATAACAATGTTGGTATTTTAGTATAACAATGTTGGTATTTTAGTATAACAATGTTGGTATTTCAGTATAACAATGTTGGTATTTTAGTATAACAATGTTGGTATTTTAGTTTAACAATGTTGGTATTTCAGTATAACAATGTTGATATCTTGGCTCCCACCATTGTACCATCTTCATTACTCCTATGTTAGTTTGATCTTTTCTCTTCTTTTCTCTTATCTGTTTGATCAGTTAGCCTGTCCCCCATCTTAATCAGTCTTTTGATCAACCTCAAAAGTTAACATGCACAACAATTTGAGAAAGATCCCTCCAGTACTTTCTGATAAATAGTGCTAACAAACTTTAACTTTATGAGGAACCTTCATGTAAAATTTGAGAAAGATCCCTCCAGTACTTTCTGATAAATAGCGCTAACAAACTTAAACTTTATGGGGAACTTTCATGTGAAATTTGAGAAAGATCCCTCCAGTACTTTCTGATAAATAGCGCTAACAATCTTTAACTCTCAAATTAGGGACAGCTGGCCGTCGGCCATCTTGGTACTTTCTAAGAAATAGCGCTAACAAGAATTGTTTAAGGACGGACAGAATGACGGACGGAATGGCAGAATGACCGACAGACAGACGATTGATCACAGACGCAGGGTGATTCGAATAGCCCACCATCTGATGATCATGGTGTGAGGATGATGGTGTGAGGATGATAGTGTGAGGATGATGGTGTGAGGATGATGGTGTGAGGATGATAGTGTGAGGATGATGGTGTGAGGATGATAGTGTGAGGATGATGGTGTGAGGATGATGGTGTGAGGATGATAGTGTGAGGATGATGGTGTGAGGATGATGGTGTGAGGATGATAGTGTGAGGATGATGGTGTGAGGAGTGTGAGGATGATGGTGTGAGGATGATGGTGTGAGGATGATAGTGTGAGGATGATGGTGTGAGGAGTGTGAGGATGATGGTGTGAGGATGATGGTGTGAGGATGATAGTGTGAGGATGATGGTGTGAGGAGTGTGAGGATGATGGTGTGAGGATGATGGTGTGAGGATGATAGTGTGAGGATGATGGTGTGAGGATGATAGTGTGAGGATGATGGTGTGAGGATGATGGTGTGAGGATGATAGTGTGAGGATGATGGTGTGAGGATGATAGTGTGAGGATGATGGTGTGAGGATGATGGTGTGAGGATGATGGTGTGAGGATGATGGTGTGAGGATGATGGTGTGAGGAGTGTGAGGATGATGGTGTGAGGATGATGGTGTGAGGATGATAGTGTGAGGATGATGGTGTGAGGATGATGGTGTGAGGATGATAGTGTGAGGATGATGGTGTGAGGATGATAGTGTGAGGATGATGGTGTGAGGATGATAGTGTGAGGATGATGGTGTGAGGATGATGGTGTGAGGATGATGGTGTGAGGATGATGGTGTGAGGATGATGGTGTGAGGATGATGGTGTGAGGATGATGGTGTGAGGATGATGGTGTGAGGATGATGGTGTGAGGAGTGTGAGGATGATGGTGTGAGGATGTGAGGATGTGAGGATGTGAGGATGATGGTGTGCAGATTATGGTGTGAGGATGATGGTGTGAGGATGATGGTGTGAGGATGATGGTGTGAGGATGATGGTGTGAGGATGATGGTGTGAGGATGATGGTGTGAGGAGTGTGAGGATGATGGTGTGAGGATGATGATGTGAGGAGTGTGAAAGGTTACACTTACCTTCCTCATCAAAACACATGTCAAACCAGTCCTTTCCCACAGTAAAATCTACCCGCTCGCCGTGTCTCACTACAAACAGTTTGCGTGGTTCACAGCGGTCTGGTTCTGATAATGGGGATCTCTTCTTCACCTAGCAATCAAATATGACATGTTAACTCTTGTTGTATTACCATATGGTTTTGGAAATATTTATTGTTCTGTGTATCTTTCAAATTCTTGTCTAGGGCAAGGTATCACTAAGCACTAACATTTTAATAATGGTTCTCACTTGAACATGTCTATCATCCTATCAATCTTAAGGTTACTTCTAAACATAAATATTTTACTACTTCAGTCATTTAGATTATATAATACTGTCACATGTACAGAATGCTAACCAAATCATGTCAGATGTACAGAATGCTAAACAAATCATGTCAGATGCACAGAATGCTAACCAACTCATGTCAGATGTAGAGAATGCTAACCAAATCATGTCACATGTACAGAATGCTAACCAAACCATGTCAGATGTACAGAATGCTAACCAAATTATGTCAGATGTACAGAATGCTAACCAAACCATGTCAGATGTACAGAATGCTAAACAAATCATGTCAGATGCACAGAATGCTAACCAAATCATGTCAGATGTACAAAATGCTAATCAAATCATGTCAGATGTACAGAACTGCTAACCAAATCATGTTGCTTTTCAAAATGAAAATTTAAAAAATCCTAATAAATTAAATGCATTATATATCAGGATCTGGTCCTTTCAGTTTTTAAGGAAAAGCCATTCAAAGAAGATAATTTAGCAACAGACAACTGCAGGTACTGCACCTAAACATAAGCTGGCACTGCACCTAAATATAAGCTGGCACTACACCTAAACATAAGCTGGCACTACACCTAAATATAAGCTGGCACGACACCTAAACATAAGCTGGCACGACACCTAAACATAAGCTGGCACAACACCTAAACATAAGCTGGCACTGTACCTAAACATAGCCTGGCACTACACCTAATCATAAGCTGGCACTGCACCAAAATATAAGCTGGCACTGTACCTAAACATAGCCTGGCACGACACCTAAACATAAGCTGGCACTGTACCTAGACATAGCCTGGCACGACACCTAAACATAAGCTGGCACTGTACCAAAACATAGCCTGGCACTGCACCTAAACATAAGCTGGCATGACAACTAAACATAAGCTGGCACTGTACCTTAACATAGCCTGGCACTACACCTAAACATAAGCTGGCACTGTACCAAAACATAGCCTGGCACTACACCTAAACATAAGCTGGCACTGCACCTAAATATAAGTTGGCACAATACCTAAACATAAGCTGGCACTGCACCTAAACATAAGCTGGCACGACACCTAAACATAAGCTGGCACTGTACCTAAACATAGCCTGGCACGATACCTAAACTTAAGCTGGCACTGCACATAAACATAAGCTGGCACTACACCTAAACATAAGTATCTAGTGGGACCGTAAACAAACCTGTGCGTATCTAGTGGGACCATAAACAAACCTGTGCGTATCTAGTGAGACCTTAAACAAACCCGTGCGTATCTAGTGGGACCGTAAACAAACCTTGGCACAACACCTAAACATAAGCTGGCACTACACCTAAACATAAGCTGGCACTGTACCAAAACATAGCCTGGCACGATACCTATACATAAGCTGGCACTGTACCTAGACATAGCCTGGCACGATACCTATACATAAGCTGGCACTGTACCAAAACATAGCCTGGCACGATACCTATACATAAGCTGGCACTGCACATAAACATAAGCTGGCACTGTACCTAGACATAGCCTGGCACGATACCTAAACTTAAGCTGCCACTGCACATAAACATAAGCTGGCACTGTACCAAAACATAGCCTGGCACGATACCTAAACTTAAGCTGCCACTGCACATAAACATAAGCTGGCACTGTACCAAAACATAGCCTGGCACGATACCTATACATAAGCTGGCACTGTACCTAGACATAGCCTGGCACGACACCTAAACAAAAGCTGGCACTGTACCTAGACATAGCCTGGCACGATACCTAAACTTAAGCTGCCACTGCACATAAACATAAGCTGGCACTGTACCAAAACATAGCCTGGCACGACACCTAAACAAAAGCTGGCACTGTACCTAAACATAGCCTGGCACGACACCTAAACAAAAGCTGGCACTGTACCTAAACATAGCCTGGCACGATACCTAAACATAAGCTGGCACTACACCTAAACATAAGTATCTAGTGGGACCATAAACAACCCTGTGCGTGTAAACTAACCTGTGCGTATCTAGTGGGACCGTAAACAAACCTGTGCGTATCCTTTATTGTCATGCCACAGATTGTCGTAGGTATCATCCAGGACCTCCAAGGTAAACCCATTACTTTGAAGAATGATGGGCGTGGCTCCCTGAGGGATAAGAGGTGTGGTCCCATGAGGGATAGAGGGGTTTGCACCTTTAGGGTAAGTTGGTGTGGCTCCCAAAGAGACGAGAGGTGTAGCATCCTGGGTAATGAGGGGTGGTACTCCTTTTGGATTGATGGGTGTGGCCCCCTGATGGAGCTCTACCATAGCCTCCATAGGTAAAGACCTGCGATAGAAATAACAGAAATGAAACAGAAATGAAACAAAGAATTGATAATGCCTATATTACTTACATACTTTATAATACTTTTAAGTACGATTTCCTTTAACAGTTTGATCTTGTGCTATTAAAGTCTAAAGGTCAAATATGATGTCTACAGAAACTGTCTTCCCAAAATGTCAGTTCTCTCTGTAAATGTACTTTTGTGTATGCTGTACATATATTTTCACAAGATGTAAATAGAGAATTTGTCAAAATACACAGTACAGACTTTACTAGAAATAACTGGGTTTTTTTTTAAGATGGCTTGGTCAGAGCTAATATTTCTGTGATAATCAAATGTTCATGGAATGATGTACAGCAGTTTTGGGGTAGCTAACCCTATTGTGGTAAAGACAGTGGTGTTGGGGTAGCTAACCCTATTGTGGTAAAGACAGTGGTGTTGGGGTAGCTAATCCTATTGTGGTAAAGACAGTGGTGTAGGGGTAGCTATCCCTATTATGGTAAAGACAGTGGTGTTGGGGTAGCTAACCCTATTGTGGTAAAGACAGTGGTGTTGGGATAGCTATCCCTATTGTGATAAAGACAGTGGTGTTGGGGTAGCTAACCCTATTGTGGTAAAGACAGTGGTGTTGGGGTAGCTAACCCTACTGTGGTAAAGACAGTGTTGTTGGGGTAGCTAACCCTATTGTGGTAAAGACAGTGTTGTTGGGGTAGCTAACCCTATTGTGGTAAAGACAGTGATGTTAGGGTAGCTAACCCTATTGTGGTAAAGACAGTGGTGTTGAGGTAGCTATCCCTATTGTGGTAAAGACAGTGGTGTTGGTGACACCTCATTGTCTCTACAGTTTTGGCAGGGGAATAACATACCTGTGTAACGTCCAGGTACGGGTGTCGGCGGTCCTCTGTGTGTAGGTTCCCGGGAAGTATCCAGAGTTTCCAGTTAGCCATGATATTCCTTTATACCAGCCATCCTTACTCTCCTGGATCTCTGAGGGCTCCACATACACAAAGTCCCCATCAATTAACTCCAACTCGTCTCCATGCTGTGTGGTGTACGCTTTCAAAACCTTACGCACCTAATTTAATGAAACATATGTATACTCAGTTCACAAGAAAAGCGGTAATATATCGGAGCCCCTGTGGTTACAGGGATAGCGGTCATATATTCTGAGTCCCTGTCATTACAGGAATAGCAGTCATACATCAGAGCCCCTGTGATAACAGGAATAGTGTCATATATAGGGGCCCCTGTGATTAGAGGAATATCGGTCATATATCGGAGCCCTTGTGATTACAGGAATAGCGGTCATATATCAGAGCCCCTGTGATTAGAGGAATAGCGGTCATATATCAGGGCCCCTGTGATAACAGGAATAGTGGTCATATATCAGGGCCCCTGTGATTAGAGGAATAGCGGTCATATATTGGAGCCCCTGTGATTACAGGAATAACGGTCATATATCGGAGCCCCTGTGATTAGAGGAATAGCGATCATATATCGGAGCCCCTGTGATAACAGGAATAGCGGTCATATATCGGAGCCCCTGTGATTAGAGGAATTATGTCATATATTGGAGCCCCTGTGATTAGAGGAATAGCGGTCATATATCCGAGCCCCTGTGATTACAGGAATAGCGGTCATATATTCGGAGCCCATGTGACTACAGGAATAGCCGTCATATATCGGAGCCCCTGTGATTAGAGGAATAGCGGTCATATATCAGAGCCCCTGTGATTACAGGAATAGCGGTCATATATTCGGAGCCCATGTGATTACAGGAATAGCCGTCATATATCGGAGCCCCTATGATTACAGGAATAGCGGTCATATATCTGAGCCCCTATGATTAGAGGAATAGCGGTCATATATCGGAGCCCCTGTGATTACAGGAATAGCGGTCATATATCGGAGCCCCTGAGATTAGAGGAATAGCGGTCATATATCAGGGCCCCTGTGATTACAGGAATAGTGGTCATATATCGGGGCCCCTGTGATCAGAGGAATAGCGGTCATATATCGGAGCCCCTGTGATTAGAGGAATAGAGGTCATATATTGGAGCCCTGTGTGACCTTCATAGGTAACTGTCATGTGTGACCTTCAAAGCCAACTGATATTGATCAATTACACACATGTCACATGTTAGTGTCGATTCATTGTTAACATGCACCTACCAGCTAAACAACTGGAAAATTTGAAATCTGAAATCTGAAAAAAAACTTTGCGTCAAAGACGGATGACATGTGTGAATTGTCATGATTCTATTGTGTTTTAATTTGATTACATAATTGCTCACTGACCATTGATCCATGATTTTTATCAGATTTAAATAACTTTAGTCAGGAATTTGAATGTGTGGACAAGCCAATTTTCCCATCGTTACGTAAATATTTTGCAGCTTTACCTTGACCTCAAAAATATGACCTTGACCTTCATCAGGTCTTGAAAGATTCATGAAAACTTTGGTGAAAGCTGCATGCAAACCAACTGTTGACAGATGAAAAGTAAGAACATTGAGCTAGCTACCTCACAGTGTGCCCTAGTGATATCACGGGAGTAAAGTCGGAAGTCCCAGCGTACATCAGCATCAAGATTGATTTCCTTGGCCATAGTGAGCAGTTTATCATGCTGGTCGACTTGGTACTGGTAGGCCAGAGTCATATGAAGCTGTTTCTTGTGTGGTTCAAACTTTACTCCTGTAAAACAGATCAAAGAAAACATCAAATTATCTATATATAGCTGAATCCTTACCTCTTAGGAATCAAACACAAACCTTTCAACATACAGAATGACATATCTGAGGATGAAATATCTGAGGATGACATGGTTTGCACCCATCACAGATTCAGACTAACCCCTAGTTTGTACCCATCACAGATTCAGACTTACCCCTAGTTTGTACCCATCACAGATTCAGACTTACCCCTAGTTTGTACCCATCACAGATTCAGACTAACCCCTGGATTGTACCCATCACAGGTTCAGCCTTACCCTTAGTTTGTACCCATCACAGATTCAGACTTACCCCTAGTTTGTACCCATCACAGATTCAGACTAACCCCTGGATTGTACCCATCACAGGTTCAGACTTACCCCTAGTTTGTACCCATCACAGATTCAGACTTACCCCTAGTTTGTACCCATCACAGATTCAGACTAACCCCTGGATTGTACCCATCACAGGTTCAGGCTTACCCCTAGTTTGTACCCATCACAGATTCAGACTTATCCCTAGTTTGCTCCCATCACAAATTCAGATGTGCTGTCAAAGTGATTACCATGTACCCCCCTCACTTCACTAGGTGGGTGGTATAAATACAGAGGTGCTGTCAAAGTGATTACCGTATACCCCCCTCACTTCACTAGGTGGGTGGTATAAATACAGATGTACTGTCAAAGTGATTACCATGTACCCCCTCACTAGGTGGGTGATATGAATACAGACGTGCTGTCAAAGTGATTACCATATACCCCCCTCACTAGGTGGGTGGTATAAATACAGACGTGCTGTCAAAGTGATTACCATATACCCCCCTCGCTAGGTGGGTGGTATAAATACAGATGTGCTGTCAAAGTGATTACCATGTAACCCCCTCACTTCACTAGGTTGGTGGTATAAATACAGACGTGCTGTCAAAGTGATTACCATATACCCACCTCACTAGGTGGGTGGTATAAATACAGACGTACTGTCAAAGTGATAACCATGTATCCCCCTCACTAGGTGGGGGGTATAAATACAGACGTGCTGTCAAAGTGATGACCATGTACCCCCTCACTAGGTGTGTGGTATCAATACAGATGTGCTGTCAAAGTGATTACCATGTGCCCCCCTCACTAGGTGGGTGGTATGAATACAGACGTGCTGTCAAAGTGATTACCATGTACCCTCCTCACTAGGTGGGGGGTATAAATACAGACGTGCTGTCAAAGTGATTACCATATACCCACCTCACTAGGTGGGTGGTATAAATACAGATGTACTGTCAACATGATTACCATATACCCCCTTACTAGGTGGGGGGTATAAAAACAGACATACTGTCAAAGTGATAACCATGCACCCCCCTCACTAGGTGGGTGGTAAGGATACAGATGTACTGTCAAAGTGATTACCATGTCCCCCCTCACTACACTAGGTGGGTGGTATAAATACAGACATGCTGTCAAAGTGATTACCATATACCCCCTCACTACACTAGGTGGTTGGTATAAATACAGACGTGCTGTCAAAGTGATTACCATGTACCCCCTCACTAGGTGGGTGATATGAATACAGACGTGCTGTCAAAGTGATTACCATGTACCCTCCTCACTAGGTGGGTGGTATAAATACAGACGTACTGTCAAAGTGATAACCATGTATCCCCCTCACTAGGTGGGGGGTATAAATACAGATGTACTATCAAAATGATTACCATATACCCCCTTACTAGGTGTGTGGTATAAAAACAGACATACTGTCAAAGTGATAACCATGCACCCCCCTCACTAGGTGGGTGGTAAGGATACAGATGTACTGTCAAAGTGATTACCATGTCCCCCCTCACTACACTAGGTGGGTGGTATAAATACAGACATGCTGTCAAAGTGATTACCATATACCCCCTCACTACACTAGGTGGTTGGTATAAATACAGACGTGCTGTCAAAGTGATTACCATGTGCCCCCCTCACTAGGTGGGTGGTATGAATACAGACGTGCTGTCAAAGTGATTACCATGTACCCCCTCACTACACTAGGTGGGTGGTATAAATACAGACATGCTGTCAAAGTGATTACCATATACCCCCTCACTACACTAGGTGGTTGGTATAAATACAGACGTGCTGTCAAAGTGATTCCCATGTGCCCCCCTCACTAGGTGGGTGGTATGAATACAGACGTGCTGTCAAAGTGATTACCATGTCCCCCCTCACTACACTAGGTGGGTGGTATAAATACAGACATGCTGTCAAAGTGATTACCATATACCCCCTCACTACACTAGGTGGTTGGTATAAATACAGACGTGCTGTCAAAGTGATTACCATGTCCCCCCTCACTACACTAGGTGGGTGGTATAAATACAGACATGCTGTCAAAGTGATTACCATATACCCCCTCACTACACTAGGTGGTTGGTATAAATACAGACGTGCTGTCAAAGTGATAACAATGTATCCCCCTCACTAGGTGGGTGATATAAATACAGACGTGCTGTCAAAGTGATAACCATGTAGCCCCCTCACTAGGTGGGTGGTATAAATACAGATGTACTGTCAAAATGATTACCATATACCCCCTTACTAGGTGGGTGGTATAAAAACAGACATACTGTCAAAGTGATTACCATGTACCCCCCTCACTAGATGGGTGGTATAAATATGAATGTACTATCAAAGTGATTACCGTATACCCCCCTCATTAGGTGGGTGGTATAAATACAGATGTACTGTCAACATGATTACCATATACCCCCTTACTAGGTGGGGGGTATAAAAACAGACATACTGTCAAAGTGATTACCATGTACCCCCCCACTACACTAGGTGGGTGGTATAAATACAGACGTACTGTCCAAGTGATTACCATGTACCCCCTCACTACGCTAGGTGGGTGGTATAAATACAGACGTACTGTCAAAGGGATAACCATGTATCCCCCTCACTAGGTGGGTGGTATAAATATAGACATACTGGTAAAGTGATTACCATATACCCCCCTCACTAGGTGGGTGGTATCAATACAGATGTACTGTCAAAGTGATTACCATGTACCCCCTCACTACGCTAGGTGGGTGGTATAAATACAGACGTACTGTCCAAGTGATTACCATGTACCCCCTCACTACACTAGGTGGGGGGTATAAATACAGACGTACTGTCAAAGTGATAACCATGTATCCCCCTCACTGGGTGGGTGGTATAAATACAGACGTGCTGTCAAAGTGATAACAATGTATCCCCCTCACTAGGTGGGCGATATAAATACAGACGTGCTGTCAAAGTGATAACAATGTATCCCCCTCACTAGGTGGGTGATATAAATACAGACGTGCTGTCAAAGTGATAACCATATATCCCCCACACTAGGTGGGTGGTATAAATACAGACGTGCTGTCAAAGTGATTACCATGTGCCCCCCTCACTAGGTGGGTGGTATAAAAACAGACATACTGTCAAAGTGATTACCATGTACCCCCCTCACTAGGTGGGTGGTATAAAAACAGACCCCCTCACTAGATGGGTGGTATAAATATGAATGTACTATCAAAGTGATTACCGTATACCCCCCTCACTAGGTGGGTGGTATAAAAACAGACCCCCTCACTAGATGGGTGGTATAAATATGAATGTACTATCAAAGTGATTACCGTATGCCCCCCTCACTAGGTGGGTGGTATAAATACAGATGTGCTGTCAAAGTGATTACCATGTACCTCCCTACTAGGTGGGTGGTATAAATACAGATGTGCTGTCAAAGTGATTACCATGTACCCCCCTACTAGGTGGGTGGTATAAATACAGATTNAGGTGGGTGGTATAAATACAGACGTGCTGTCAAAGTGATTACCATGTACCCCCCTCACTAGGTGGGTGGTAAAAATACAGACGTACTGTCAAAGTGATTACCATGTACCCCCCTCACTAGGTGGGTGGTATAAATACAGACGTACTGTCCAAGTGATTACCATGTACCCCCTCACTACACTAGGTGGGTGGTATAAATACAGACGTACTGTCAAAGTGATTACCATGTACCCCCTCACTAGGTGGGTGGTATAAATACAGACGTACTGTCCAAGTGATTACCATGTACCCCCCTCACTAGGTGGGTGGTATAAAAACAGACATACTGTCAATGTGATAACCGTATACCCCCCTCACTAGGTGGGTGGTATAAATACCAGACAAAAAATTGACCAATCTGTTACTTAAGTGTTCACTGAGAGCTAAGATTATTTTTTTTCTGTGAAATATATCATATTATTTATGATCAAATCCTTTCCTTTCCATTGCTGCCTGAGCACTGACATTACCTGATTTGTTCTGTCTGACCACTGAAATTACCTGATTTGTTCTGCCTGAGCACTGACATTACCTGATTTGTTCTGCCTGAGCGCTGACATTACCTGATTTGTTCTGCCTGACCACTGACATCACCTGATTTGTTCTGCCTGAGCACTGACATTACCTGACGTGTTCTGCCTGAGCACTGCCATTACCTGATTTGTTCAGCCTGAGCACTGACATTTCCTGATTTGTTCTGCCTTAGCACTGACATTACCTGGTTTGTTCTGCCTTAGCACTGACATTTCCTGATTTGTTCTGCCTGAGCACTGACATTACCTGATTTGTTAAGTTCATCTCCAACTTGATTGGTAACATCTGACAGGAACCTATAGAAATCTTCCTGTACAAACAGTCCAATGAAATTCACTTGACTGAAAAAGTCCAGCTTCATTCTGTCTGGTGCCTGGCGTAGTTTGGTCTGTAACTTCTGAACAGCAGAGGTGACCTCATGTACTTTACAATCCTCAACCTTCAGAAAGACAGAAAAGTAATTTGTTTTACTCCGTTTTACAGTCGACTTAACATTTATCTACGTCACCATTACAGGTGACTTAACATTTATCTACGTCACCATAACAGGTGACTGAACATTTATCTACGTCACCATAACAGGTGACCTAACAGTTAACTACGTCACCATTACAGGTGAGTAAACATTTATCTACGTCACCATAACAGGTGACCTAACAGTTAACTACGTCACCATTACAGGTGAGTAAACATTTATCTACGTCACCATTACAGGGGACTACATTTATCTACGTCACCATTAAAGGTGACTACATTTATCTACGTCACCATAACAGGTGACTGAACATTTATCTACGTCACCATAACAGGTGACTGAACATTTATCTACGTCACCATTACAGGAGACTACACTTATCTACTTCACCATTACCGGTGACTTAACATTTATCTATGTCACAATTACAGGCGACTTAACATTTATCTACATCACAATTACAGGTGACAAAAAATTTATCTTCGTCACCATTACAGGTGCCTAAACATTTATCTACGTCACAATTACAGGTGACTTAAAATTTATCTGCGTCACCATTACAGGTGCCTAAACATTTATCTACTTCACAATTACAGGTGACTAAACATTTATCTACTTCACCATTACAGGTGACTAAACAGTTATCTACGTCACCATTACAGGGGACTACATTTATCTACGTCACCATAACAGGTGACTGAACATTTATCTACGTCACCATTCTAGGTGACTAAACATTTATCTATGTCACCATCACAGGTGACTTAACATTTATCGACGTCACCATTACAGGTGACTACATTTATCTACGTCACCATTAAAGGTGACTACATTTATCTACGTCACCATAACAGGTGACCTAACAGTTAACTACGTCACCATTACAGGTGAGTAAACATTTATCTACGTCACCATCACAGGTGACTTAACATTTATCTACGTCACCATTCTAGGTGACTAAACATTTATCTACGTCCCCATTACAGGTGACTAAACATTTATCTACGTCACCATAACAGGTGACTAAACATTTATCTACGTCACCATTACAGGTGACTACATTTATCTACGTCACCATTACAGGTGACTTAACATTTATCTATGTCACCATCACAGGTGAATTAAGAACTTAATGCTTACGATTAAAAGATTATTGCAGCTACTGAACACACAGGTTGAAAGTAAAATGTCACCATGAAATATGTCATTAAATTAATGTTGGCTTACAGTGAAGAATGGACAGAGTGTGATATGTGGGAAGTATGCATGAGATCCATTCCATCCACAGCTGTTGAGGGACTTCTCAGCAAATTCTACAATCTGTTTCTGCAGTGCTCCCTGAGGGACAAGATAGAGGATGTATTCGCGGCCTTTGTTCTCATCCAGGTGTGGGTCGTTCACATGTGACAGGAGCCTATTTTATAAGAAATAGGGAAATTCATGACCAACTGTTTACTTATAAACTGACCAACAACAACAAAAAAAATGAAAGTTACATACTATCGAAGATGGAATATTTTGGAGGAACAAGTCCCAATTTGTGAAATCATCCACATCATAAAAAAATATGTATGGTATATATATATGTTCCAAATATAAATGTTACAAATATGTATGGTATATATATATGTTACAAATATATATGTTACATATATATATATGTTACAAATATGTATGTTTTACCAGTCAGATTACATACGTGTACAGTACATTACATATAAATGTTTTACCAGTCAGATTAAATACGTGTACAGTACATTACATATATATGTTTTACCACTCAGATTACATATGTGTACGGTACGTTACAGATATATGTTTTACCAGTCAGATTACAAATGTGTACGGTACGTTACAGATATATTTTTTACCAGTCAGATTACATATGTGTACGGTACGTTACAGATATATGTACATGTTTTACCAGTCAGATTACATATGTGTACGGTACGTTACAGATATATGTTTTACCAGGCAGATATACATATGTGTACGTTATGTTACAGATATATGTTTTACCAGTCAGATTACATATGTGTACGGTACGTTACAAATATATGTTTTACCGGTCAGATTACATATGTGAAGGGTACGTAACAGATATATGTTTTACCAGTCAGATTACATATGTGTACAATATGTTACAGATATATGGTTTACCAGTCGGATGCCAGTTGTACTCCACGATCTCCTGTAGATGCTATTGCCTTTTCCCTACAACAACAAAAAAGATCAAACAACTTTTTAATCATTATTTTTTCCATGGTATCTATTTACATGACAAACATGAAAAGAACATGTAATATCAGATGTACATGTCTCCGTGGCGAGTCCAGGATAGGGCGTAATAGGCGTACATGTTATAAAAAAAACACAAAAAACCGATCGTAATCTGCTAATATTGTATTGAATATGGCATTTTATCATATTCAATCATCTATTCCACATTAAAGCCTACAATATTTTTAGAACGAAAGAACTTAATACTTCAGTGTTTGTTTGTCTTGTTTATTCACACTCACACCTATTCAACATACAGACTTCCTCTGTCTGAGGTCTGGTCGCGGATTGACAGGCGTCATCACACCTCCTCAGACCAGGGGGACACCTGTACATTAACAGTAGATGGTCTATCATGATATCATAATAGTCACATGTGTACATGTTCATCAACCTGAACGCATACACTTCACACACACATGTTTAAAAAAAACAATAAGCACAAAAATGTCTCCGTGGAAGGAATTGGCCAGGCAGTCTTAACACACTTGTATACAGGGGCGGGTCAAGGTGAGGGCGTATTGTATACCGGGGCGGGTCAAGGTGAGGGCGTATTGTATACAGGGGCGGGTCAATGTGAGGGCGTATTGTATACAGGGGCGGGTCAAGGTGAGGGCATATTGTATACAGGGTCGGGTCAAGGTGAGGGCGTATTGTATACAGGGGCGGGTCAAGGTGAGGGCGTAAAAAAAACAAAAAAACACTATCATAATCTGCTAATATTGTATTGAATATGGCAATTTATCATATTCAATCATCTATTCCACATTAAAGCCTACAATATTTTTAGAACGAAAGAACTTTATATTTCAGTGTTTGTTTGTCTTGTATCATGTGTGTCGTTCAACGAAACCAGAACTTAATCTAAAATAGAGATATTTATCAGTCTGGCTACTTCATAATTTGATGCTAAATTTTTGAAATCCAGAATCTTCTGAGCTTCCCCATGGACCCTCTACCAGGGCAACCGTAATTACGCCTCCCGTTCATAAAATCCTGGCCTAGGACTATTGAAATGTTAAGTAACGCCTTACATGTATACCCTAGAATTTGGAATTTCTTGTTATTGGTCTACTGCTGTTAAGATCCATCCAATCATTTTAATATACCATAGACAATTAATGGAGAGAATTCGGCATAAAAAATGTCAAACCCTGACACTTTAACTATAAAATATACATGCTCCAAGTCAGGAACCGTTACATTAGTGCATTTCACAATTATTTTATGTTTTTTAGCAAAAAAAAGGTCCTAGAAACGCCCCTGGTATATACTCTTATAACATAATTAATAGCCCGCTGGTCAGCCTTTTTTCTATCGGATATGATTTTACGGACTGCGACAGCGCCTGTCAAAAGTATCTATATAGGGAAACAGAATACTGATTTTCTTGTTTTGGTGAAAACAATGCATCATGTTGAAAAAAAACAGTGTCATCTTTGTGAAATAACATTACCATTTTTTGTCGAAAAACAAGTTATCTCAAAATCTGGCTAATGATATAAATCGGATATAAATAGGATACGTTTGGATGAAGATCATGACGGAGTGAGTCATGATACAAAATGTGACACCCGACATGTCCAACTTATAGCGGAGTAGCCTCCTCCTTATGTCTAACCCAAACTCGTGAACACATAACTAACTCACGCTCGTTGTTTTGAAAATCCCATCTGTAATAAAATGTCCCGGTCTGACTTTGATTTCTGGCGTTTGATTGATTCATCTCTCCGATGTCTGGTCGGCAGTACACCAGAGGCCATCTTACTTCCTCAAATGAAAGGGGAGGTAACTCATTAAAGTTGACATGTTGCTGAAAGCATTGTAAGCTTAATGTCTGTAACTTGTTGGATTATCTTCCACGTATAAACAGTGGGGCTATTGTCAGCATATTTCATTGCATGAATTGAAATGCTGCTTCTATATTTACTTTTATATAATAGCTATATTGTTTCACGAGGACAATGGGGAAGTTTTTGAACAAGGAACAAGAATTACTGTCTAAATGTAGTTCTATTCACAAAACAGCAAGCTGTTATAGTCTGACCAGACGATACAGCAAATTGATGTCCTATTTATCATATAAATGTCCCCTACTTTTCCAGTGAATGTCCTTCAGTTGCCTCCGAACGGTCTCTCGTTGTCATGTTATGGTCCTCTAGTTGTCATATGATGGTCATGTAGTTGTCATGTGATGATCCTCTAGTTGTCATAAGATGATCTTCAAGTTGTCATGTGATGGTCCTCTAGTTGTCATATGATGGTCCTCTACTTATCGTGTGATGGTCCTCTAGTTGTCACGTTATGACCCTCTAGTAATCGTGTGATTGTCCTCTAGTTATCGCGTGATGATCCTCTAGTTATCATATGATGGTCGTCTATTTTTCACGTGATGGTCCTGTAGTTGTCATGTGATGATCCTTTATTTTTCATATGATTGTCCTCTAGTCATATGATGGTCCTCTAGTTTTCATGTGATGACCCTTTAGTTGTCTTGTGATGGTTCTCTAGTTGTCACGTGATGATCCTTAAGTTGTCATATGATGGTCCTCTAATTATCATGTGATGATCCTCTAGTTGTCATATGATGGTCCTCTAGTTATCGTGGGATGATCCTCCAGTTTCATAGTATGATCCTCTATTTTTCACGTGATGGTCCTCTAGTTGTCATATGATGGTCCTCTACTTATCGTGTGATGGTCCTCTAGTTGTCACGTGATGGCCCTCTAGTTATCGTGTGATGATCCTCTAGTTATCATATGATGGTCCTCTAGTTATCGTGGGATGATCCTCCAGTTGTCATAGTATGATCCTCTAGTTATCGTGTGATGGTCCTCTAGTTGTCACGTGATGGTCCTCTAGTATCGTGTGATTGTCCTCTAGTTATCGCGGGATGATCCTCTAGTTGTCATGTGATGGTCCTCTAGTTGTCATAAGATGATCTTCAAGTTGTCATGTGATGGTCCTCTATTTGTCATGTTATGGTCCTCTAGTTGTCATGTGATGGTCCTCTAGTTGTCTTGTGATGGTTCTTTAATTGTCATGTAATGATCCTTTAGTTGTCATATGATGGTCCTCTAGTTATCGTGGGATGATCCTCTAGTTGTCATATGATGGTCCTCTTCTTATCGTGTGATGGTCCTCTAGTTGTCACGTGATGGCCCTCTAGTTATCGTGTGATTGTCCTCTAGTTATCGCGTGATGATCCTCTAGTTATCATATGATGGTCGTCTATTTTTCACGTGATGGTCCTGTAGTTGTCATGTGATGATCCTTTATTTTTCATATGATTATCCTGTAGTTGTCATATGATGGTCCTCTAGTTTTCATGTGATGACCCTTTAGTTGTCTTGTGATGTTTCTCTAGTTTTCATGTGATGATCCTCTAGTTGTCATATGATGGTCCTCTAGTTTTCACGTGATGACCCTTTAGTTGTCTTGTGATGGTTCTCTAGTTTTCATGTGATGATCCTTAAGTTGTCATATGATGGTCCTCTAGTTATCGTGGGATGATCCTCTAGTAATCGTGGGATGATCCTCTAGTTGTCATATGATGGTCCTCTAGTTGTCATATGATGATCCTCTAGTTGTCAGGTGATGATCCTTTAGTTGGCATAAGATGGTACTGTAATTATCGTGTGATTTTCCTCTATTTGTCTTGTGATGTTTCTCTAGTTTTCACGTGATGATCCTCTAGGTGTCATATGATGGTCTTCTAGTTATCGTGGGATGATCCTCTAGTTGTCATAAGATGATCTTCAAGTTGTCATGTGATGGTCCTTTAGTTATCGTGTGATGATCCTCTATTTGTCATATGATGGTGCTCTAGTTTTCACGTGATGACCCTGTAGTTGTCTTGTGATGTTTCTCAAATTGTCATGTCATGATCCTCTAGTTGTCAGGTGATGATCCTTTAGTTTTCATGTGATGACCCTTTAGTTGTCTTGTGATGGTTCTCTAGGTTTCATGTGATGATCCTCTAGTTGTCATATGATGGTCTTCTAGTTATCGTGTGATGATCCTCTAGTTGTCATGTGATGGTCCTCTAGTTATCGTGTGATTTTCCTCTAGTTGTCTTGTGATGGTCCTCTAGTTGTCATGTGATAGTCTTCTAGTTATCCTGTGATGATCCTATAGTTGTCATGTGATGGTCCTTTAGTTATCGTGTGATGATACTCTAGTTGTCATGTGATGGTCCTCAAGTTATCGTGTGATGATCCTCTAGTTGTCGTGCGATGATCCTCTAGTTGTCATATGATGATCCTCTAGTTGTCATATGATGGTCTTCTAGTTGTCATATGATGGTCTTCTAGTTGTCATATGATGGTCTTCTTGTTATCGTGTGATGATCCTCTAGTTGTCATATGACGGTCCTCTAGTTGTCATATGATGGTCCTCAAGTTTCGTGTGATGGTCCTCTAGTTATCGTGTAAATGTCATTTATTATACATATCAAACAAATAAAAGGTCAATGTTTGTATGTAGGTCAATGTTTTTATTTGTGTGATATGTAGGTCGATGTTTCTAATTTGTGTGATATGTAGGTTAATGTTTTTATTTGTGTGATATGTAGGACAATGTTTTTATTTGTGTGATATGTAGGTCAATGTTTTTAATTGTGTGATATGTAGGTCGATGTTTTTTATTGGTGTGATATGAAGGTCGATGTTTATATTTGTGTGATATGAAGGTTGATGTTTTTTATTTGTGTGATGTGAAGGTCGATGATTTTTATTTGTGTGATATGTAGGTCAATGTTTTTAATTGTGTGATATGTAGGTCGATGCTTTTTATTTGTGTGATATTTAGGTCGATGTTTCTATTTGTGTGATATGGAGGTTGATGTTTTTTATTTGTGTGATATTTAGGTCGATGTTTTTATTTCTGTGATATGAAAGTCAATGTTTTTAATTGTGTGATATTTAGGTCAATGTTTTTAATTGTGTGTTATTTAGGTCAATGTTTTTAATTGTGTGTTATTTAGGTCAATGGTTTTTGTTTGTTTGTTTGAGATGAAAGTAGATGGTTTTCCTACCAATAAAAGGTGGTAGATTTTTCAATAATCTACGATAAAATTATTTCATGAAATATTGTCAGTAGAAACTTGTTGAAAAATTCTGCTTAAATCATTCAATTTTAGAAACTGGCATATGATAACGCAGTGGTAGATTTATCAGTTGATTCTATTAAAACTTTAAAACTGTTGTCAATAAACTGAAAAAAATACACATCTACCAGCAAAATGCCTACACACGTTTTATCTCCCAGATACGCCCCTGAAGTCACTTTGTGCGTCACAGGTCTTTTGACACTAGTTTACAAGCCCCTGTGCTCGGAGGGGATCAGAGGACCCACGTTGACGTACATACGGTTTGTGACGACTGTAACTGGTGCCAACAGAGACCGCAGTGCCCATTGTTTTAAACGTGGCGATCTCGCAGATAGCCTGCCTTTTATTGAAGAGCAGTCATCTCACACATGTTTAAGCACAGGTAGGGTCGCGTGCTCGAGAACCTGTGAGCCGACCAGTACCAATGACATGATAATCGAAACTGCAGTCAGGGTATCACAAAATGTCACGGTTACCCCCAAAATGTGTTTTATTTATGTAAACTACTCAATACGTCAGCGATACATTACCTGTCGGTTTAACATAGTATGTACACTACTTCATAGTCGACACTGCACAGATAGTGTAACTAGCGCGCATGGGTAGAACAGCAAGTGTTTAACGTTGATCCCTGTTTTTTCCTTCTTTCTGGCACGTGGTTTCTATTGTGGTCAATAATGCAACAAACAAGTTTAGCACTGATGGGTTTTTTCGGTGACATCTCGTAATAATTGGACGAGTTATCCATCGTTGTATGACTTCCCAGTACACATACCCCAGGAGTGGGCGAACAGATTTTGATAAAAGTTATGATAAAGCTCGGGCCTTTAGTATTCTATGTGTGAAGTATTTCCTTTGGTTGGTTTATAGGCCTCTACACGTGTATCTGTTTGTGATGGGTAATGTGTAACGCTAAGGAATAGCTGGTCTTCATACCATCATCAGTCTGACATTTTCTATTCTCCAAAATATTTTCTACGCTTTGACAGATGGTTGGAAATTAACATTAATATTATGCTGAAGTCAATAGGATGACACGGTTGCCATAGCAACAATAAACATTCTATCACAAACACGCGGAGAAGATCTAATCGGTAAGTGGAATTCAATAATCAACTTTTCATATACCGTATATATATATTGAGACGAATTTCCAGCGTCAGTTTCATAACACCTGTTTAAGCAATCTTTCTATTAGTTCCTTCTTATTCGTCGACATGCAGTGAAATATAAATGTATCCTTAATATAAATATGTCTCGACATTTTGGTTCTGTGTATAGTAAAACCTGGTTAGTCCGATGACTTTAGTTCCGTGTACAGAAGTATCTCGTTAGTTTGGACACTAAAAGTGTACAACCTAACGAGAAACTTCTGTACACAGAACTCAAGTGTCCGAACTAACAAAATTCCTCTGTAGACGGAACTAAAGTGTCCAAACTAGCGAGATTATTCTGTACACGGAACTAAAGTGTCCAAACTAACGAGATTCTTCTGTACACGGAACTAAAGTGTCCAAACTAACGAAATTCCTCTGTAGACGGAACTCAAGTGTCCAAACTAGCGAGATTATTCTGTACACGGAACTCAAGTGTCCGAACTAACAAGATTCTTCTGTACACGGAACTAAAGTGTCCAAACTAACGAGATTCTTCTGTACACAGAACTAAAGTGTCCAAACTAACGAAATTCCTCTGTAGACGGAACTAAAGTGTCCAAACTAGCGAGATTCTTCTGTACACGGAACTCAAGTGTCCGAACTAACAAGATTCTACTGTACACGGAACTAAAGTGTCCAAACTAACGAGATTATTCTGTACACGGAACTAAAGTGTCCAAACTAGCGAGATTCTTCTGTACACGGAACTAAAGTGTCCGAACTAACAAGATTCTTTTGTACACGGAACTAAAGTGTCCAAACTAACGAAATTCCTCTTTACACGGAACTAAAGTGTCCAAACTAACGAGATACTTCTGTACACGGAACTAGTTCCGTGTACAGAAGTATCTCGTTAGTTTGGACACTTTAGTTCCGTGTACAAAAGAATCTTGTTAGTTCGGACACTTTAGTTCCGTGTACAGAAGAATCTCGCTAGTTTGGACACTTTAGTTTCGTGTACAGAAGTATCTCGTTAGTTTGGACAATTTAGTTCCGTGTACAGAATAATCTCGTTAGTTTAGACACTTTAGTTCCGTGTACAGAAGAATCTCGTTAGTTCGGACACTTTAGTTCCGTGTACAGAAGAATCTCGTTAATTCTTTTGTACGCGGAACTAAAGTGTCCAAACTAACGAGATTATTCTGTACACAGATCTAAAGTGTCCAAACTAACGAGATGCTTCTGTACACGGAACTAAAGTGTCCGAACTAACAAGATTCTTCTGTACACGGAACTAAAGTGTCCAAACTAACGAGATACTTCTGTACACGGAACTAAAGTGTCCAAACTAGCGAGATTCTTCTGTACACGGAACTAAAGTGTCCGAACTAACGAGATTCCTCTGTACACGGAACTAAAGTGTCCGAACTAACGATGTTCTTCTGTACACGTAACTAAACTGTCGGAACTAACGAGATTCCTCTGTACACGGAACTCAAGTGTCCAAACTAGCGAGATACTTCTGTACACGGAACTAAAGTGTCCAAGCTAACGAGATACTTCTGTACACATAACTAAAGTGTCCGAACTAACGAGATTCCTTTGTACACGGAACTCAAGTGTCCAAACTAGCGAGATACTTCTGTACACAGAACTAAAGTGTCCAAGCTAACGAGATTCTTCTGTACACGGAACTAAAGTGTCCGAACTAACGAGATATTTCTGTACACGGAACAAAAGTGTCCGATCTAACGAATTATTCTGTACACGGAACTAACGTGTCCGAACTAACGAGATACTTCTGTACACAGAACTAAAGTGTCCGAACTAACGAGATACTTCTTGAGATACTTCTCGTTAGACATAAATAAGTCACGCCTACGACACGAACTATCCCACCACGCCCACCACACGTGGTATATAGCCTTGCCCACAACACGTGGTATATAGCCTTGCCCACCACACGTGGTGCATGGCCTTGCCCACCATACGTCGTATCCAGTCACGCCCACCACACGTGGTATATAACCTTGTCCACCACACGTGGTACATAGCCTCGCCCACCATAAGTCGTATCCAGTCACGCCCAACACACGTGGACACATTAGTTCCGTGTACAGAGGAATCTCGTTAGTTCGGACACTTTAGTTTCGTGTACAGAAGTATCTCGTTAGTTCGGACACATTAGTTCCGTGTACAGAAGAATCTCGTTAGTTTGGACACTTTAGTTCCGTGTACAGAGGAATTTCGTTAGTTCGGACACTTTAGTTCCGTGTACAGAAGTATCTCGTTAGTTCGGACACTTTAGTTCCATGTACAGAGGAATTTCATTAGTTCGGACACTTTGGTTCCGTGTACAGAAGTATAGTACACGGAACTAAAACGTTCAAAGAACATCGTTACCTTGGCCACTTTAGTTCCGTGGACAGAAGTATCTCGTTCGTTCGGACACATTAGTTGCGTGTACAGAGGAATTTCGTTAGTTCGGACACATTAGTTGCGTGTACAGAAGAATCTCGCTAGTTAGTTTGGACACTTTAGTTCCGTGTACAGAAGTATCTCGTTAGTATGGACACTTTAGTTCTGTGTACAGAAGTATATCGTTAGCTTGGATACTTTAGTTCCGTGTACAGAAGTATCTCGTTAGTTTGGACACTTTAGTTCCGTGTACAAAAGAATCTCGTTACTTTGGACACTTTAGTTCCGTGTACAGAATAATTTCGTTACTTTGGACACTTTAGTTCCGTGTACAGAAGAATCTCGTTAGTTTGAACACTGAAGTTCCGTGTACAGAAGTATCTCGTTAGCTTGGACACTTTAGTTCCGTGTACAGAATAATCTCGTTAGTTGAGACACTTTAGTTCCGTGTACAGAATAATCTCGTTAATTCGGACACTTTTGTTCCGTGTACAGAATAATCTCGTTCGTTTGGACACTTTAGTTCCGTGTACAGAAGTATCTCGTTAGTTTGGACACTTTAGTTCCGTGTACAGAAGAATCTCGTTATTTTGGACACTTTAGTTCCGTGTACAGAATAATCTCGTTAGTTCGGACACTTTAGTTCCGTGTACAGAATAATCTCGTTCGTTTGGACACTTTAGTTCCGTGTACTGAAAAATCTCGTTAGTTTGAACACTTTAGTTCCGTGTACAGAATAATCTCGTTAGTTCGGACACTTTAGTTCCGTGTACAGAAAATCTCATTAGTTTGGACACTTCAGTTCCGTGTACAAAATAATCTCGTTAGTTCGGACACTTTAGTTCCGTGTACAGAAGAATCTCGTTAGTTTGGACACTTCAGTTCCGTGTACAAGAATAATCTCGTTAGTTTGGACATTTTAGTTCCGTGTACAGAAGAATCTCGTTAGTTTGGACACTTTAGTTCCGTGTACAGAAGAATTTCGTTAGTTCGGACACTTTAGTTACGTATACAGCAGAATCTCGTTAGTTTGGACACTTTAGTTCCGTGTACAGAAGAATCTCGTTAGTTCGGACACTATGATTCTTTAAAAAACATAACCCCGTTTGTCGTAAACTTCGTCAGTTTCGACCTTCCACCACTGGGTCGTTGGTTCGAGGCCTACGTTGGGCAGTCGCCAGGTACTAACCGTAGATCGGTGGTTTTTCTACGGGAACTCCGGCTTTCCTCCACCACCAAAACCTGGCACGTCCTTAAATGACCGTAGCTGTTAATAGGACGTAAAACACAAACAAACCAATCGTTAGTTATTCATTAACTAGACTATACGTGTATTCACATTTTTCATAGAGCAGTTTTGCTTCACTCTTGTAATGTCAGCTCGTCAAGTTCTCGGAACTCAAGTCAACGTCGTCACCAAACAATCGACTACACACAATAGTGGTCAGCCGACTAAATAGTGTTATGGTTTCGAAGTACGTAGTGCAATGGAGGATGTAGATCAAATACAAATATGTCGATGTTTCCACTTTCAGAGGGAGCGCACCAGTGACGTCATCATCCTTCTGACGTCACCATGTCTTCCCAGAGCCGTAAACAACGAGCAGACGCCTATTTACAAAAAACTAACGTTGAGCTTCTCAATTGTGTGGACGAAATGAGGCTAAAACGAGATGATCTGCAAAAGGACATTAAGAATTTCAAGGACGAACAATCGAAACTTCAATACGACCTAGGTATGATGACGACACAACTAACACAAATCAACGAAAGTCTATGTAAAAAGTTAGTAGAGCGCGAGAGATTTGACAGTTTGATAACCGACTATGAAACAGCATTTAACCAGCTCGTGTCCGGTTCCGAGTCACTCCTTGCCAATATGCGCAAGACCCTAGGCTCAATCGCTCCGGAGTTCTTGCTTTGCGCAGAGGATGCAGACCAAATTTCCACCACCTCTCGGAGGTCAAGGTCATCGAGACAATCACACAGTAGTGCGGGTTCGCATGCGCACACGCGTATCGACATGTCACGTGGGACGTCATTGCCACGGGTGGACACCCGTGCGTCTGACTCGAGATCGGACACACAGACGGACAACCGTGTGGACACTAGGAGTTCCCAGTCACGCGGAGAGCAGTAGTGATGTCTTTTATGCCATTTGTTAACAAGTTTGTGAACTCTATCGTAGCTAACTGTAATATCATAATTGAACGACATTTAACAATGTCTGACTATAAATAGTACGTGTGCGGGGATCCCTGTTGATGCACTTGAAATTGGTTATTTGCAGAAAGTTTAAAACTTTTTGAATAAATAAAACACCAATAAAAGAAAAAAAATATCGCAAAGAAGTGTTTAGTCTCCTTACACATTGAAATGGTCATTTTAATTGCTACTAAAATTTCACGTTCACTGAAAACGCTGAGTCCGATTTTTTGTTAAAAAAGGTCATTGCTTTCCTTTCATTTGCGTCATTGATTCACGTTTTCCTCTTATTTTTCATAAATTGTTGTGACGCTTCTTGATTGCATGTGCGTGTTTTTATGTGGATAATTTTTGTGTTGCTTTCAGTCAACAATTCCGTCTTCCTTCTATGTGTCATCAATTTCTGTGTTCCTTTCATGTGTATAAGTTATCGTACTCGTCACATACGTGTAAACAATTATTGTGTTGCTTTCAAATGTGTCATTAATTTTAGATTTTTCTCTCTCTAAATATAGCGTCGATTATCGTAATGATATTAGATGGGTCATCAGCTCTTAAGTTGTGAAGTTTGTATACGTGTCATCATTTTTTTCGTTCCTTTTATGCATGTCATCAATTCCTGCTCTCCTTTTATACGCGTCATTAATTCGTATGTTCTTTTATATGTGACATCAATTCTTGTGTTCTTTTATACGAAATCCGTTTTTCTGTTCTTTTATTAGTGTCATCAATTCGTGTGGTCTTTTCATATGCGTCATTAATTCTTGTGTTGCTTTAAGATGTGTCACCAATGAAGTGAACAAATTAGAATTGACGTTTCTGAAATAGGTTGCAAAGTTTGTGATTCATGATTAGTGGACATGGTGGTCAATAGACAGCGAAACAAAGAGTTCATTTTCATGTCATTTTATTTTACGTCTGTAATCCCCTTTTCGCGATAATTTTCATATTTCAAGTTATAAGTGCAAGCTCATGTTTAAACTTTGTGAGAAGCTTGAATTAGAGCCCATTCCTGTTTGCTAAATTTCCTGTTTAATTTCAGAATCGTGTACATATGCCACCAGCAATTAGTGTTGCTAATATATCGATTAGATTTTCAAAGGAAAGAAGAATATCTGAAGTCAAATTAATTTTAATACGTTATAAAATAAATGTATTAACATTATATACCAGTTTCAATACTTTTAATTACTTGGGCGAGTCTCTGAAACTAGTGGATAACGCAAGCCTTGTTACAACAGTGACCTAGGTCTTGCTCTGGTGAAAAGTTCAGAACTTCATTGATACCTAAAAAAATGAGCCAAAACATTACATCAGGTACATTACAATGGTTATAAACAATGGTTAAAATGTGCATTATTTGCAATACACATAAATAGGTCACGCCTAAGACACGTACTATCCCACCACGCCCACCACACGTGGTATATAGCCTTGTCCATCATACGTCGTATCCAGTCACGCCAACCACACGTGTTATATAGCCTTGCCCACCACACGTGGTATATATCCTTGTCCACCACACGTCGTATCCAGCCGTGCCCACCACACGTCGTATCAAGTCACGCCCACCACACGTGGTATATAGCCTTATCCACCACACGTGGTATCCAGTCATGCCCACCACACGTGGTATATAACCTTGTCCACCACACGTCATATCCAGTCATGCCCACCACACGTGGTATATAACCTTGTCAACCACACGTCATATCCAGTCATGCCCACCACACGTGTTACATAACATTGTCCACCACACGTCATATCCAGTCATGCCGTCCACACGTGGTATATAACCATGTCCACCACACGTCATATCCAGTCATGCCCACCACACGTGTTATATAACCTTGTCCACCACACGTCATATCCAGTCATGCCCACCACACGTGGTATATAACCTTGTCCACCATACGTCGTATCCAGTCACGCCCACCACAGGTGTTATATAACCTTGTCCACCATACGTCGTATCCAGTCACGCCCACCACACGTGGTACATAGCCTTGCCCACCACACGTCGTATCCAGTCACGCCCACCACACGTGTTATATAGCCTTGCCCACCACATGTGGTATATAACCTTGTCCACCATACGTCGTATCCAGTCACGCCAACCACACGTGGTACATAGCCTTGCCCACCATACGTCGTATCCAGTCACGCCCACCACACGTGGTGCATAGCCTTGCCCACCACACGTCGTATCCAGTCACGCCCACCACACGGGGTATATAACCTTGTCCACCACACGTGGTATATAACCTTGTCCACCATACGTGGTACATATCCTTGTCCACCACACGTCGTATCCAGTCATGCCCACCACACGTATCCAGTAATGCCCATCACATGTGTTCCCACAACTCTGTAATTACAAGGTGGAACCACGCCTCGCATTACACTGACGTAGTATCCGCCTTGGGACCACGTGTCTAATTACGCGGTACCTGTCCATCACATGTACATGTGAAACCATGCTACTCATCACATGCAGACCTCAGCCACGTACTTTATATAACATGTGTCCCATTACACGCGTCCGTCCGCCGCGCCCATGACAAGTGGTTCTTAGTCATGCCCATCATACATAATAGTCAAACACATGAATATTGAGAGCGGCGTTTGAGAATGTTGTGTCATCGATCTGCTGGTGTCCCGCACTTCCGTGCATGTGGCCGAAACAATGGAGTTTGGGTCTGTAACAGACAAAATATATCACGTAAATCCTAGCACAGTTTTTTTGGTTCTGGTTTCTCAATCTGATACCCTTGCCAAAAAATGCATTATGGTATTGGGAGCATCCACCCGCCAGCCCGTCCGTCCGTCCGTCCGTCCACCTATCGTTCAATATCAACGAAACTTGGTAAGCAAGTACACAAACAGACTGAATAAGTTGAGCGAAATTCGGGCATAATTAATTAGCATACTGTGCTCTGATTAGTCAGTTTCAACACCTAAGTTTCCGCAAGATAGCTTGCTTAAATATCGTTTGATCCTTATGAAACTTGATAAGCACGTACAATATGCAAAGATCTAAATACTGAAACTGGCCCTGCAGGTAGGGCGTAAGAATTGTACCTTCTGCCCCCAATTGCATGATCGTAATAGGCGACTAAATTTGGGACCTTATCTCTTCTCTCCTTTCTAAATAACTTTCTTTTTCCTAATGTCTCCCTTGACAATGCCGCACTTTTGGCCATTTGTTGAGCGTTCGCCCCTGTGAGGAAGGTTTTGGGTTCTGTCCCCTGGCCGAGACATACCATGTCTTTAAAAATGGTAGTTTCTACTCCTGCTTAACGCTCAGCAAATTAGGAGTGGGACGACTGGTTCGCCCGTTGTCAGTATAATGTGACCGGGTGGGGCGTCCTGCTGGGTCTCTTCGGCAGGATGTTTCAGTGAGGTAGCACTATAAAGTCGGCATCAGTTCCGCGCTATCACAAGGAGACAAACACGAACTTATCGCAGCCTCCCAAAATACACACACATACACTACACGCATGCATCTTACACACAGGGAAGGCCGTCCTTAAATGACCTTAGCTGTTAATAGGACGTTAAACAAAATCAAACAAACAAACAAACAAACAAACTGAGGCTAAATTCGAGGTGAAGCAAATTCTACGCATAATTAATACGCATACTGCGCGATGATTGGTTGACAGTTTCCGCACAATAACTTAGTTAAATATGACTCGATTCTGATGATACATGGTCAATATTTATGTTATACAAAGACAGATGATAAGATAAATGTTGAACGAAATCAGCAGATAATGAACAAAAACTTTGAAATTTGACAGGATTATAATGCGGTTTGGTCAAGAGTTACACTTAGTGTAATAGCGAAATCTGCCAATAGTTACACTTAGTGTAATAGCGAAATCTGTCAATAGTTACACTTAGTGTAATAGCGAAATCTGCCAATAGTTACACTAAGTGTAATAGCGAAATCTGCCAATAGTTACACTTGGTATAATAGCGAAATCTGTCAATAGTTACACTAAGTGTAATAGCGAAATCTGCCAATAGTTACACTTAGTGTAATAGCGAAATCTGTCAAAAGTTACACTTAGTGTAATAGCGAAATCTGTCAATAGTTACACTAAGTGAAATAGCGAAATCTGCCAATAGTTACACTTAGTGCAATAGCGATATCTGTCAATAGTTACACTTTGTGTAATAGCGAAATCTGCCAATATAGTTACACTAAGTGTAATAGCGAAATCTGCCAAAAGTTACACATAGAGCAATAGCGAAATCTGCCAATAGTTACACTTAGTGTAATAGCGAAATCTGCCAATAGTTACACATAGAGCAATAGCGAGATCTGCCAATAGTTACACTTAGTGTAATAGCGAAATCTGCCAATAGTTACACTTAGTGTAATAGCAAAATCTGTCAATAGTTACACTAAGTGCAATAGCGAAATCTGTCAATAGTTACACTTAGTGTAATTGCGAAATCTGCCAATATAGTTACACTAAGTGTAATAGCGAAATCTGCCAATAGTTACACTTAGAGCAATAGCGAAATCTGCCAATAGTTACACTTAGTGTAATAGCGAAATCTGTCAATAGTTACACTAAGTGAAGTAGCGAAATCTGCCAATAGTTACACTTAGTTCAATAGCGAAATCTGTCAATAGTTACACTTAGTGTAATAGCGAAATCTGTCAATAGTTAGACTAAGTGTAATAGCGAAATCTGCCAATGTAGTTACACTAAGTGTAATAGCGAAATCTGTCAATAGTTACACTAAGTGAAATAGCGATATCTGCCAATAGTTACACTTAGTGCAATAGCAAAATCTGCCAATAGTTACACTCAGTGTAATAGCGAAGTTTGTCAATAGTTACACTAAGTGAAGTAGCGAAATCTGTCAATAGTTACACTTAGTTCAATACCGAAATCTGCCAATAGTTACACTTAGTGTAATAACGAAATCTGCCAATAGTTACACTTAGTGTAATAGCGAAATATGTCAATAGTTAATAAGCAATAAGCAATCAGAAATGTTTTCGGTTCGAATGGTGTCAGATTAATTGATTTTTGGTGAAGGCGGGCAGTTTTAATTTCTGTTTTTACGATTTGAAATAAAGACATAGAGAAGCAATTTCTATGCAAATCAGTTTTTAAATGTTGTAAAGGATAATATATGAAATATGATTCCATCAGTATTTAAGTACAGCATGATTTTTCCTATCACCACATCACAGGAATACTTCTCCACTTATAAGAGTAATACAGTACAATTAAATGTAATGTCTTCCTTTTTCCTCAGACACAATAATGCATTAGAAGGATTTTAAGTATATAATCATATATATTGTTCCCCCCTATGCCCTTCTTAAAAATAACAGTATTTGATTCCGCCACAGACTTGGGTGGGAATTCGAAAGTGAAGACCTAATCAGCTGGACCAGACAGCCTCTCTATGTGAAGACCTAACCAGCTGGCCCAGACAGCCTTTCTATGTGAAGACCTAATCAGCTGAACCTGACAGCCTCTCTATGTGCAGACCTAATCAGCTGGACCAGACAGCCTCTCTAAGTGAAGACCTAATCAGCTGGACCGGACAGCCTGTCTATGTGAAGACCTAATCAGGTGGACCAGACAGCCTCTCTATGTGAAGCCCTAATCAGCTGGACCTGACACCCTCTCTATGTGAAGACCTAACCAGCTGGCCCAGACAGCCTTTCTATGTGAAGACCTAACCAGCTGGCCCAGACAGCCTTTCTATGTGAAGACCTAACCAGCTTGACCTGACAGCCTCTCTATGTGAAGACCTAATCAGCTGGACCTGGCAGCCTCTCTTTGTCTACATTCTGTAGCGGCTTTGCGCCCATTCAAACCTCTATTTTACTCTGACTTTATTTTACATACCTTACTCTGTTTAATACAGTGTTCCGGAGTTTTGGACATCCAAGGTGACACATTCCATCGTGAGTAAGAGAGCAGACATCGCACGCACCCCTCCTGTTCCTCCCGAAAAGCGAAAAACCCTCTCTGCCCATATCCCGTATACCATGTGGGGGCATGTGCGTCACCAATACATCAGTTTCGTTTGGAATAGCATCCCAATGGTGTTCGAACTTGCCCCACTTTCGGACGAAAGCTCGGTTATAAGAGGTCCATTTGTAAGCCGTCCAAGGCGATCCGTAAAAATTAATCCCCTCAATATTGACACCTGAATCTTGTAGATAAGTCACTTGGGGAAGACTCTGCTGAATTTCTTCCTGTCGTCTGCCCGCGATCGCCATGTCGTGGTTACCACCAACAAATATCTTATGTTTGTGAGGCACTTTACCGAAGAACTCGTTGATTTGCTGGATATGTCCATCGTAGTCCGGTGTTTTGACTAGGCGTGACCAGTCTGTGGTGCAGAAATCTCCAGAATGGACAAGCACGTCCCCGGCCGGAAGTCGTGGTAGGTACCTCCGGTCGTGGTACAGGTGTGTATCGGACAAGTGTACAATCCGGACTCTCCTTTCACCGTCTCCGATCTTCATCACATCTACGTCATCTGTCGCCATTTTTTGTATATACCGTCTGTAGGTCGATCTGAAGCAATAAATTTTGGAACTAAAACGTACGAAGCAATTTCTAATAAGGAAAAATGGGCTTCATTGCACGCTCCTAAAACTGCCACTAGGCATTGCTTTGATTGGATTCTATTAAAAATCCACAGATCTCGAGCTTCATAGAAAAGGACTTCGTTTGATACCCACGGTCAATTACGCTTACCGTCAATGTAGCTTACACTTACCATCAATGTAGCGTTCACTTACCGTCAATGTAGCATACACTTACCGTCACTGTAGTGTACACTTACTGTCAATGTAGCTTACACTTACCATCAATGTAGCGTACACTTACCGCCAATGTAGCGTACACTAACCGTCAAATAGCGTACACTTACCATCAATGTAGCGTACACTTACCGTCAATGTAGCGTCAGTGTAGCGTACACTTACCGTCAATGTAGCTTACACTTACGTCACGGTAGTGTACACTTACTGTCAATGTAGCTGACACTTACCATCAATGTAGCGTACACTTACCGCCAATGTAGCGTACACAAACCGTCAATGTAGCGTACACTTACCATCAATGTAGCGTACACTTACCGTCAATGTAGCGTACACTTACCGTCAATGTAGCGTACACTTACCATCAATATAGCTTACACTTACGTCACGGTAGTGTACACTTATCGTCAATGCAGCATACACTTACTATCAATGTGAGCGTACACTTACCGTCAATGTAGCTTACACTTACTGTCAATGTAGCTTACACTTACCGTCAATGTAGCTTACACTTACGTCACGGTAGCATACACTTACCGTCAATGTAACGTACACCTACCGTCAATGTAGCGTAGACTTACCGTCAATGTAGCTTACACTTTAATCCGAATTATTCTGACGTTTTATCGACTTTTTGTATATCGGTCTGTCGTCGATTAACGTCAGAACTCCGGCCCTCTATAATATGCGGGAAATATGTGACCCGCACCCGGGTCGCACTTCAAACTGATATTTTAGAAACAAATCGTCACTTTCACATACATGTCGCACATGGATCGAAAGATCTATTCCTTATTTACTAGGTGGTATCAATAACATGTTTCAGAGATCATTACGAACAGTATTTTCCAACGTTTTCTATACCAACCAATGTTTTCAAAGGAAAGTAGGACATGAGCAATGTCACATGACTTGACGAGATCTCGCGTTACCGAAGGTATTTCCCAACGTTATGACGTAGGCCGGCGATATTTTAGTCACGTGGCATTAGAAGGCGGGGCTATCAAAAAAAAGTAAAACAGAGTTTGAAAAAATATGTTTTAGTGATTGTATTGGTTGTTTGAGGCATGTAATGTATGTCCATCTTGTGCATAAAGAATAGATCTTTCGATCCATGTGCGACATGTGTGTGAAAGTGACGATTTCTTTCTAAAACATCAGTTTGAAGTGCGCTCCGGGCGCAGGTCGCTTATTTCCCGCATATTATAGAGGGCCGGAGTTCAGACGTTAATCGACGACAGACCGATCTTTTTTTTTTTAACATTTCACCCCTGTGATTGAAAGTCGAACAAAGTCATTATGTTGAACAAATTTTATAGCCTTTCATCTCAGGATGCAGCTTGCAAAGTGTCAACATCCTGGGACCCATGGTTATTCAGAAGAGGTCGTTTAAAGATTTTAAACAAATTTGACCCCTGTGACCTTCAAACTCAGTCAAAGTCATTCACTTTAACAAACATAGTAGTCCTTGATCCCAGCATGCTACTGACTAAATAAATATCAACATCCTGAGCCTTTTGGTTATTCAGAACAAGTTCTTTAAATATTTTGAACATATTTGCTCCTTGTGACCTTGAATATGATTCAAGGTCATACATTTAAATAAACTTGGTAGCCCTTGATCCAAGTATGCTACTGCCTTAATAACATCACCTTGGGCATTTTGGTTATTCAGAAGAAGTTGTTTTAAGTTTTTAACATATTTGACCCCTGTGACCTTGAATATAGGGGAAGGTCATTAATTTGAACTAACTTGATAGCCCTTTACCCAAGCACGCTACTGGTCAAATATCATCACCTTGGGCATTTTAGTTATTCAGAAGAAGTTGTTTAAAGTTTTTAACATATTAGACCCCCGTGACCTTGAATATAGGTGAAGGTCATTCATTTGAACACACTTAGTAGCCCTTTATGTCAGCATGCTACTGGCCAAATATCATCAGCTTGGGCATTTTGGTTATTCAGAAGAAGTTGTTTAAAGTTTTTAACATAGTTGACCCCTGTCACCTTGAATATGGGTGAAGGTCATTCACTTTAACAAACATAGTAGTCCTTGATCCCAGCATGCTACTGACTAAATATCAACATCCTGAGCCTTTTGGTTATTCAGAACAAGGTCTTTAAATATTTTGAACATATTTGCTCCTTGTGACCTTGAATATGATTCAAGATCATACATTTAAACAACCTTGGTAGCCCTTGATCCAAGTATGCTACTGACTAAATATGATCACCTTGTGCATTTTAGTTATTGAGAAGTTGTTTTAAGTTTTTAACATATTTGACCCCTGTGACCTTGATTATGGGTGAAGGTCATTCATTTGAACAAACTTGGTAGCCGTTTATCTCAGCATGCTACTTGCCAAATATCATCACCCTGTGAATTTTGGTTATTCAAAAGAAGTTGTTTAAAGTTTTTAAGATATTTGCTCCCTGTGACCTGGAATATTGGTGAAGGTCCTTCATTTGAACAAACTTTGTAGCCCTTCATCTCAGCATGCTACTGGCCAAATATCATCACCCTGGGCGTTTTGATTATTCAGAAGAAGTTGTTTCAAGGGTTTTTAAGACAACTGACCCCTGTGACCTTAAATATAACTGAAGGTCATTTATTTGAACAAACTTGGTAGCCCTTCACCCAAGCATGTTACTGGCCAAATATCGTCTCCCTGGGCAGTTTGGTTATCGAGAAGAAGACGTTTAATGTTTTTAACATATTTGACCCCTGTAACCTTGAAAATGGGTGAAGGTCATTAATTTTAACAAACTTTGTAGCCCTTCATCTCAGTTTGCTTCTGGCCAAATATCATCACCCTAGGCCTTTCGGTTATTAAGAAGAAGTCGTTTAAAGTAAAATATTGACGCCGGACGCCGGACGCCGGACGGACGGACGGACGACGGACAGACGCCGCGCCAGGTGAGCTAAAAAGTCGATAAAACGTCAGAATAATTCGGACTACTTACACTTACGTCACGGTAATGTACACTTACCGTCAATGTAGCATACACTTACCGTTAGTGTAGCGTACACTTACCTTCAATGAAGCGTACAGTTACAGTACACTTACCGTCAGTTAGCGTAAAGTTACCGTAACCTTGCCGTCAGTTAGTGTAAACTTACCGTACGTACACTTACCGTCGATGTAATGTACACTTACCGTTAATGTAGTGTGTTTGCCGTCAATGAAACATACACTTACCGTTAGTGTAGCGTACACTTATCTTCAATGAAGCGTACAATTACAGTACACTTACCGTCAGTTAGCGTAAAGTTACCGTAACCTTGCCGTCAGTTAGTGTAAACTTACCGTACGTACACTTACCGTCAATGTAATGTACACTTAGCGTTAATGTAGTGTGTTTGCCGTCAATGAAACATACACTTACCGTTAGTGTAGCGTACACTTACCGTACACTTGCTGTCATTGCAACGTACAAATATCGTCCATGTAACATATACTTACAGTCAGTTAATTACCGTACACTTTACTGTCAATGTAACGTACATTTACTGTCAATTTAACGGGGATTTATTGTTAATGTAACTCACATTTACTGTCAATGTAACGGGGATTTACTGTCAATGTAACGGGGATTTACTGTCAATGTAACGTCAACTGACCGTCAATGTAACGTACATTGACGGTCAGTACGTTACATTGACAGTAAATTTACTGTCAATGTAACGTAATTTACTGTCAATGTAACGTACATTAACTGTCAAAGTAACGTACATTTACTGTCAATGTAACGGGGATTTACTGTCAATGTAACGTATATTTACTGTCAATGTAACGGGGATTTACTGTCTGTCAATGTAACGTACATTTACTGTCAATGTAACGGGGATTTACTGTCAATGTAACATACATATACTGTCAATGTAACGTACATTTACTGTCAATGTAACGTCAACTGACCGTCAATGTAACGTACATTGACGGTCAGTACGTTACATTGACAGTAAATTTACTGTCAATGTAACGTAATTTACTGTCAATGTAACGTACATTAACTGTCAAAGTAACGTACATTTACTGTCAATGTAACGGGGATTTACTGTCAATGTAACGTATATTTACTGTCAATGTAACGGGGATTTACTGTCTGTCAATGTAACGTACATTTACTGTCAATGTAACGGGGATTTACTGTCAATGTAACATACATATACTGTCAATGTAACGTACATTTACTGTCAATGTAACGTCAACTGACCGTCAATGTAACGTACATTGACGGTCAGTACGTTACATTGACAGTAAATTTACTGTCAATGTAACGTAATTTACTGTCAATGTAACGTACATTAACTGTCAAAGTAACGTACATTTACTGTCAATGTAACGGGGATTTACTGTCAATGTAACGTATATTTACTGTCAATGTAACGGGGATTTACTGTCTGTCAATGTAACGTACATTTACTGTCAATGTAACNGCTCACCTGGTATTAATCTCACACTTGTAATCTTAAAAGTGGACTAAAATACAGCTACAGGCAGAATATCAGTGTTTGATTCATAAGAACCTATTAAAAGATTTAAACATATGACGCCTGTGACCTTGAATGTCGAACAAGGACATTAGGTTGAACAGAGTTTAAAGTCTTCCAACCCAGCATGCTTTTGGCAAAATATCATAACCCTGGACCTATTGGTTATACAGAAGAAGTTGTTTAAAGATTTAAACATATATTGACCACTGTGACCTTGAATATGGGCGAAGGTCATTCATTTGAATAAACTTGGTTGCCCTTTATCCCAGCATGCTACTGGCCAAATATCATCATCCTAAGACTTTCGGTTATTGAGAAGAAGTTGTTTGAAGGTTTTAAACATATTTGACCCATGTGACCTTGAAAATAAGTAAAGGTCATTCATTTGAACAAATTTGATAGCCCTTCATCCTGGCATGTTACTGGCCAAATATCATTATCCTAGGCTTCTTAGTTTTTCAGAAGAAGTTGTTTAAAAATTTGTTAAGACAATTTACCCCTGTAACCTTGAAAATGGACGAAGGTTATTCATTTGAACAAACTTGGTAGCCCTTTATCCCAGCATGTTATTTGCCAAAAATCATCACTCTGGGCATTTTGGTTATTCAGAAGAAGTTGTTTAAAGTTTTGAACATATTTGACCCCTGTGACCTTGAAAATAGGTGAAGGTCTTTTATTTAAACAAAGTTGGTAGCCCTTCATCCTAGTTTGCTTCTTGCCAAATATCATCACCCTAGGCCTTTTGGTTATTAAGAAGAAGTTGTTTTAAGTAAAATATTGACACCGGACGACGGACAGACGACGGACGCTGCAAAAGGCAAGGTGAGCTAAAAAATGCTTAGTATCGTTAGAAATATCGATAACTTTTCTTTTAAAAACCTCCTATATGCACGTTAAATGTATTCTCCTTCGTTTCCGTACACATGCTCTTCATTTCCTCCAAAAAACACATGTATACCATTTCCGATTTTTTTGCAGTCACGGAGCCACTTTTTGTATATTCATGAGCTTGACGTCAGCCAAATGTCCCAGACTGTAATACACACGGGGTACACACGTAATAGACAGTTATACACATGTAACAGATCTAGACAGTAATACACACTCACAGACAGTAATACACACGGGGTACACACGTATTAGACAGTTATACACACGTAACAGATCTAGACAGTAATACACACGTAACAGACAGTTATACACACGAGGTACACACGTAATAGACAGTTATACACACGTAACAGATCTAAACAGTTATACACACGTAACAGACAGTAATACACACGGGGTACACACGTATTAGACAGTTATACACACGTAACAGATCTAGACAGTAATACACACTAACAGACAGTAATACACACGGGGTACACACGTAATAGACAGTTATACACA